CCAGACACGGGCACACAGACACAGACACACACCCAGACACGGGCACACAGACACAGACACACACCCAGACACGGGCACACAGCCAAAGACACACACCCAGACACGGGCACACAGACACAGAGACACACACCCAGACACGGGCACACAGACAGGGAGACACACACCCAGACACGGGCACACAGACACGGAGACACACACCCAGACACGGGCACACAGACACAGAGACACACACCCAGACACGGGCACACAGCCACAGACACACACCCAGACACGGGCACACAGACACAGACACACACCCAGACACGGGCACACAGACACAGACACACACCCAGACACGGGCACACAGACACAGACACACACACCCAGACACGGGCACACAGACACGGAGACACACACACCCAGACACGGGCACACAGACACAGATACACACCCAGACACGGGCACACAGACACAGACACACACACCCAGACACGGGCACACAGACACAGACACACACCCAGACACGGGCACACAGACACAGACACACACCCAGACACGGGCACACAGCCACAGAGACACACACCCAGACACGGGCACACAGACACAGACACACACCCAGACACGGGCACACAGCCACAGAGACACACACCCAGACACGGGCACACAGACACAGACACACACCCAGACACGGGCACACAGACACAGAGACACACCCAGACACGGGCACACAGACACAGACACACACCCAGACACGGGCACACAGACACAGACACACACCCAGACACGGGCACACAGACACAGACACACACCCAGACACGGGCACACAGACACGGACACACACCCAGACACGGGCACACAGACACAGAGACACACACCCAGACACGGGCACACAGACACAGAGACACACACCCAGACACGGGCACACAGACACGGAGACACACACCCAGACACGGGCACACAGACACGGAGACACACACCCAGACACGGGCACACAGACACAGACACACACCCAGACACGGGCACACAGACACAGACACACACCCAGACACGGGCACACAGACACAGACACAGAGACACACACCCAGACACGGGCACACAGACACAGAGACACACCACCCAGACACGGGCACACAGACACGGAGACACACACCCAGACACGGGCACACAGCCACAGAGACACACACCCAGACACGGGCACACAGACACAGACACACACCAGACACGGGCACACAGACACAGACACACACCCAGACACGGGCATACAGACACGGAGACACACACCAGACACGGGCACACAGACACAGACACACACCCAGACACGGGCACACAGACACAGACACACACCCAGACACGGGCACACAGACACAGACACACACCCAGACACGGGCACACAGACACAGAGACACACCACCCAGACACGGGCACACAGACACAGACACACACCAGACACGGGCACACAGACACAGAGACACACACCCAGACACGGGCACACAGACACGGAGACACACACCCAGACACGGGCACACAGCCAAAGACACACACCCAGACACGGGCACACAGCCACAGAGACACACACCCAGACACGGGCACACAGACACAGAGACACACACCCAGACACGGGCACACAGACACAGACACACACCCAGACACAGGCACACAGACACAGACACACACCCAGACACGGGCACACAGACACAGACACACACCCAGACACGGGCACACAACCATAGAGACACACACCCAGACACGGGCACACAGACACAGACACACACCCAGACACAGGCACACAACCATAGAGACACACACCCAGACACGGGCACAGACACAGAGACACACACCCAGACATGGGCACACAGCCACAGAGACACACACCCAGACACAGGCACACAGACACGGGCACACAGACACGGGCACACAACCACAGACACACAGTCACAGACACACAGACACGGGCACACACACACACACACACACACAGACACACATACATACGCGTACACAGACATGCACAGACAGACGCATAAAGAGACACATGTGCAAAGACACACACAGACACATGCACACACAATCCTAGTGACAAGGCTGGAGGAAGAAGGCTACCATTATTTTAAGAGTTCAAAGCACTGGACGAGCAGTTGACTATGGAAGCAGGCCCGTCATAGGGCATGAAGATTTTCCTCTGCATCCCATCTGGAGAAAAGAATAAACTCCGTATCTTGATCTGATCCCAGATACACTGCAGGAGTCGAGTAAGTGCTCACAAAATACAGTATTTCCCAAGAACTTGGATATACGCCTGCTCTGTGACTCAGCCATGCCATCGATAGGTGTTACCCAGGAACTGAAGTATACAATACACAAAGACCCATAGGAGTGCTTATGACATTGTTTTTTTTTATTATTATACAATAGCTCCAATTGGGAAGAAATCCAATTATCAACAGCTCAAATCATTAAAAAAAAGGGGGGGGGGCCTGGGAAGGTGGCTCAGTGGTAGAGTGTTTGCCTTGCATGCATGAGGCTCTGGGTTCGATTCCTCAGCACCACATAAACAGAAAAGGCCGGAAGTGGTGCTGTGGCTCAAGTGGTAGAGTGCTAGCCCTGAGCTGAAGAGCTGAGGGACAGCGCCCAGACCCAGAGTTCAGGTCCCACGACCGACAAAAAAAAAAAAATAGGGCTGGGAAGTAGCTCAGTGGTAGAGCGCTTGCCTTGCAGGCATGAGGCCCTGGATTCGATTCCTCAGCACCACATAAGCAAAAAGAAAAAAGCCCGAAATGGCGCTGTGGCTCAAGTGGTAGAGCGCTAGCCTTGAGCTGAAGAGCTGAGGGACAACGCTCAGGCCCAGAGTTCAGGCCCCATGACCGGACCCAAAAAAACAAAACAAAACAAAACAAAAAAATAAGTGGGATGCTACCCAGCAATTTTAAATACAGGCCTCAAAATCATTGTACCAGAGAATCAGGGTGCAGGTGACACTGTACACGAAGAAATGCATTCTTTACCTGACTTAAGTAACTACAATCTCCCTGTACATGGATGAAGAGTTTAAATATGATACAACCTGATTTGGATGGAAGGCAAAAAAAAGTCAGGCTTATAAATTGGCCAGGACCTAGTGGCTCACACTTGCAATTCTAACTACTCAGGAGGCTGAGATCTGAGGATCACAATTCAAAGCCAGCCAGGGCAGACACAAAAACAAGGATCTGCAGAAGCTATAAATCCAAAGTGCTACATGTCTAGAGCCTCCATCTGAAAAAAATCAACCTATCTAAAGATAAGAATTGTACCAGTAATAAAACTTTCCAAAAATAGGTTTGAGATCTGCAATAGCTATTAAAGGACATCATTAGAAACATTCTTAATTACAAAAAAGATTTTTAATCTATTCAACTGATTGTATCACCACCAATAAGATTTTGGAACTGTATTTCTAGGAGCCCTGGGATTTGTGAAATTAAAAAAAAAAAAAAAAAAAAAAAAAAAGGCCAGGCGCTGGTGGCTCACGCCTGTAATCCTAGCTACTCAGGAGGCAGAGATCTGAGGATCGAGGTTCAAAGCCAGCCCGGCCAGGAGAGACCGTGAAACTCCTATCTCCAATAAACCACCACAAAACCGGAAGTGGCGCTGTGGCTCAAGTGGTAAAGCGCTAGCCTTGAGCTGAAGAGCTGAGGGACAGCGCCCAGGCCCAGAGTTCAAGCCCCACGACCGACCAAAAAAAAAAAAAAGGCAGAGGAGCCTGGAGCTAGTAACTAATACCTGTATTCCCGGCTATTTAGGAGGCAGAGATCAAGGGATGGCAGTCTGAGGGCAGCTTGGACAAAGAGTTCACAAGCCTTCCCACATCAACCAAGAACTGGGTCCAATGGTATGTCCATATGTCAGGCCTAGAATAGGCCTAACCCCCAAGCAAGCCCATCTCTGCATCAACTGGGTTGTAGTGCCACCTAGAGGGCTTTAATTGGGAAAGGAGATCATTTGATAATAGAGGATCCAACACAATTTCCAAAATGTGGCTGGTGCCCCTTTGTCAACTTGGTCTGGGACACAGAGCTTAGCAAATACCAGGGACAGGGGAACACATATTTACACCAACCTCTCGACTTCCAGGGCCACCCTCCCCTTGGGACCCCATCTCCCCACACAATAAAGGGGAAAAGGGGCCTAACAGGAAATCTAGGAGCCACTTGACATATAGTACATTAGGACATACTACTCAATATATGGTTAATTAAAAAAATGACACATATTAAGGCACACTGGGGGTGGGGTGGAGGTGGACAGCACAGAGAATATTGAATATATAGACTTAGGACTGAATGGGAGATGAAAAAAATTAGAATTATCCTGTGTATATATTCTGTCCACATCCTCCACCAAATTCAAATGGAGCTTTGCTTTTGCTTCTCTTTTACTTAAAATCTTGCAGTGGGTTTCTGATAGTTATTGTTGTATATATGGGTGCCAGTCCTGGAGCTTGAACTCAGAGCCTGGACGCTGTCCCTGCTCTTTTTCACCCAAGGCTAAGGCTTTTATCATTTGAGCCACGGCTCCACTTCTGGTGGATAAAGAGTCTCGCAGATGTGTCTGCCCGGGCTGGCTTAGAACCTGGATCCTCAGATCTCAACCCCTGAGTAGGTGGGATGACAGACAGGCTTCCAGTCTTTAGATTTCACAGGCCAGGCTGTGTCGGTTCCCACGGTTGTGCTGGGGGAACAGCCCTGGGAAAACGTGGCCCAGGCGCGCACGCCCCTTTCCCGGTCCCGCCTGGACCCCGCCCCTTGGGAAAAGCCACGCCCACCCCCACAGGCCACGTCCATTCACCGCCCCCGATCCGCCCTGGCCACGCCCTGTCACACGCCGGCCCCGCCCCCCAGCCCCCCGCGCGCTCCAGGCTTTCCCCAGGGTCCTAAGCCGGAAAGTATGAGCGCGCGACCCGCCGCACCAGCAGCCACATCCGGGAGGAGCTTTGGGCCCTGCGGGTCGCCGTAGGCTGCCGGGCTTTTTTGCCCTCGCCTCCCCTCAGCGGAGACCGGGAACCTGCGGCGGTGTGGTGGCCGAGAGCCGCGCGGCCTCAACATGGGCGAGCATGGCCTGGAGCTGGCGTCCATGATTCCCGCCCTGCGGGAGCTGGGCAGGTAGGGCCGCGGTCCTCCCTCCCCGGGCCCGGCTGACGCTGCGGGCCCCGCTCACCTAGCCGGCGGCCCGGGGGAGACTCGGCTCCGGGTCCGGGCTGGGAGCGTCCCGGTCGGGCGGCGGCGGCACGGGGCCTCGGCGGTTGGTGGACCGTTGTGGGACCGTTGGTGGGAACCATTGCGGGGAGGGGGGGGGCGGGGAGGGGGCGGGGCGTGACGTCATCGGGGCGGGGCTTCCGCCTGGGGGCGGGGCTTCCAGGCCGCACTTTACCTTCCGGCCCCGGAGGGGCCCCCCCATTTCTTCCTCCCTCCCTTCCCTCCTGTCCCCCTCTCCCCGCTCTCCTCTCTTCCCTTTCCTAACTCTCTTCTTTCCCTCTCCCTCACCCTCCTTCCCTCTCTCCCTCCCTCGCCCACCCCTTTCTGGTCACTTTTCTGCTTCCCCAAAACCTCTTTCTAAAGCCATGGACCCGTAGTTCACGCCTTGTAATCCCAGCTACTCAGGAGGCTGAGCTCTGAGGATCACAGGTTCAAACCCAGCCAGGGCAGGAAGGTCTGTAAGACTCATTCCTATGTCTCAATTGGTAGAGCGCCAGGCTTGGGCACAAAAGCTCAGAGACAGCTTCCGGGCCGTGAGTTCAAGCCCCAGGACTGGCACTATAAAACAAAAATAACACACACACACACCCTCATTCCTTATGTAGGAGACAGTCTATTCTTTAGGGTCACTCTGTTCAGGGACTGACTTTCGTGAAATCGCCCCTTGGAGGGAGAAATCACAGTTCCTGCTTTTCAAGCAAGGATGGTTCTGATCGCTGTGTAGGTCTTAGTTCATTGTAAAGATTTATTTATTTTTGCTTTTTTTTCCCCCAAATGATGGTACAAGTTCTTTTAAGGATTAAAAACTATTTATGGGCGGGGAATGTGGTTTAGTTGTAGAGTGCTGGCCTAGTATGCATGAAGCCCTGGGTTGGATTCCTCAGTACCATATGAACAGAAAAAGCCAGAAGTGGTGCTGTGGCTCAAGTGGTAGAGCGCTAGCCTTGAGCAAGAAGAAGCTCAGGGACAGTGCCCAGGCCCTGAGTTCAAGCCCCAGGACTGGCAAAAAAACAACAACAACCAAAACCTTTTTATTTGTGTTTCAGTGCCACTCCAGAGGAGTATAATACAGTGGTGCAGAAGCCAAGACAAATCCTTTGTCAATTCATCGACCGAATACTTACAGATGTAAATGTTGGTAAGAAACCAGTGTCTATATGAACTCAACAAATTAGATGGTTTCCTTTTCCGTATGTGCAACATTATACTAATGTTTCTTTCCCCAAACATTTTGTTATAGAGTTGATACATGGGGTAATTACAAGTTGTTGAGTATTGCTTATTGCTGTGGTTTAGACTTTTAAAATTATTCTGTTAGCCTAATTAGTAGCATGGATTTGCATAATTGCTTGCTATGAATTCTTTCATCTTGTGTATTGCACAGAAAGCAAATTTGACTAAGTCTGATCATGTGGCCTTATGTTGTGCAAGTGAACCACGCACAACAGATGCCACCCCAAGCTCTTGAGGGTTGCTGCCTTTTTAAGCAGACAGAGCTGTGGGTTATCAACTCTTTGCCTATTTGTGATCATCTGAAAGATAAGCATCATCATCATGGCAAGAAGGTATCCCATCTGTCATCTACGTTGCTAGTATAGAGTGACATTTGACTCAGGATTTATCATTTTCATTCCAAATTTGGTCCTAAAACACATGATTTATAACCACTTAGCCTTTATTTTTCTTGGTGCCAGTCCTGGAGCTTGAACTCAAGGCCAAGGTTCTGACCCTAAGATTTTTTTGCTCAAAGTTAGCGCTCTACCTACCACTTGAGCCACAGTTCCATTTCTGTTTTATTTGATGCTTCCTTAGAGATTATAGTCTCATGGGCCTTTCTGTCCTGGCAGGATTCAAACAGGAATCCTTAGAGCTCAGTCTCCTGAATAGCTAGGATTATAGGCATGAGCCCCCGGCCCCCAGCTAGCCCTTCTTTTTTTAAAGAGTAAAGTTGAAATTGCTAAGTTACACCAAAGAACTATGCATGTTGATGTGTTTTCATATGGTACTCTTGTTACATTACCTGCCTTCCCCTCTGCTTAGCTAAATCTTCTTCATCTAAGAATTCCTTCATAGCATCTCCTTATGCTTATTCTAGATAAGTACAGTACCTGTACTGTGTTAGCATTATTAGTTTGTCACCTTCACAAGATTATGAGGGTTTGTTTTTTTTTTTTTTTTGCCAGTTCTGTGGCTTGAACTCAGGGGCTGGGCACTGTCCCTCAGCTTCTTTGTGCTCAAGGCTGACCTGTACCACTTGAACCACAGTGCCACTTCTGGCTTTTTCTGAGCAGGTTGTTGAGATAAGAGTCTTACGGACTTCCCTGCCTGAGCTGGTTTCCAACCATGATCCTCAGATCTCAGGCTCCTGAATAGCTAGAATTACAGGCATGAGCCACCTACCTGATAATTAAGAGAATTTTTAAGTCTTCAGATTTCAGCATAGTATGTAACATATTATAGGCCTATAGTTCATGTTTGCTGAGCAGGATGAATGATAAATGAGTTAATTTAACTTACTGTATTTAACCCTACCATGTTACCATGAGCATTGTGCTAGATGTAATAATTCTTCTTTTTCTTTTTTTTTTTTTTGTGCTAGTCCTGGGACTTGAACACAGGGCCTGGGCAGTGTTCCTGAGCATTTGTGCTCATGGCCAGCACTCTACCACTTTGAGCCACAGCTCCATTTCCAGCTTTTTGATAGTTAATTGGAGATAAGAGTGTCACGGACTTTCTTGCCTGGGCTGGTTTTGAACCACGATCCTCATATCTCAGCCTCTTGAGTAGCTAGGGTGATAGGTGTGAGTCACTGGCACCCAACTTGAATGTAATCTGATTATTCCAGTCTACTTTTCTAATAAAATGCCTACTGTGTAATTTGTGAGACGTCTTTACAACAAATCTTTTATTTTCTTCTTTTAGTTGCCCTAGAACTCATAAAGAAGACAGACTCTCAGCCCACCTCTGTGATGCTGCTTGATTTCATCCAGCATATCATGAAGTCCTCCCCGCTTATGTTTGTCAATGTGGATGGAGGCCAGGACCAAAGCGAGGCCAAAGGCAGCTGTGTTGGTAAGAGGCGCGCCATTCGTGCGTTCATATGCAGGCTGCATGGGAACCTGCCTGCCCGCCCTGCCCTTCTTAGCTTGTCACATGGAAACGGTCACGCTCCTTTCCTAGGCGAACTTACAGAAGCACAGAGAAATGCAGAGCTCATCCAAGTAGTGGATGGAAGGCTTGGACCTTTCCCGAGATGCTCAACTACTATAATGTATTTCCATTTTGTCAAAAATTACAATATATTGTTAATGACGTTCATATCAGTCTGTCATCTAGTTGGGCACCAGTGGCTCATGATTGTAATCCTAACTACTCAGGAGGTTTGAGATTTGAGGAGCATAGTTTGAAGCCAGCCAGGGCAGGAAAGTCTTTGAGACTCTTATTTCTAATTAACCATCAAATAACACAGAAGTTGAGCTGTGGCTCAAGTAGCAGAGTGCTAGCCTCAAGTGAAAATGTTAAGAAACAGCACCCAGACCCTGAGGGTGTGTGTGTGTGTGTGTGTGTGTGTGTGTGTGTGTGTGTGTGTGTGTGTGTGTGTGTGTGTGTGTGTGTGTGTGTGTGTGTGTGTGTGTGTGTGTGTGTGTACCCACACAGAGTCATCATGCATTTAGAATGAACGCTTCTGAGAAACTTGTTTATTTACTGTGTTTTTTGTTTGTTTGTTTGCTTGTTTTAAAGAATTCAGTAACTGGATCATCACAAGACTTTTACGGATTACAGCAGCTCCATCCTGTCACGTCTTACACAAGAAAATTAGTGAAGTTATCTGCTCGCTCTTATTTCTTTTTAAAAGCAAGAATCCTACAATTTTCGGGGTCCTCACAAAGGAATTATTACTTGTTTTCGAAGATTTTATTCACCTCCACCAAAGAAATGCGGCTGGAGATATAAAAGAGTGGCCAGTGGTCATCTATAGATTTTTTAGCCAGTTAGATGAACACATGGGTTATTTACAAGCAGCTCCGTTGCAGCTCATGAGCATGCAAAATTTAGAATTTATTGAAGTCACTTTATTAATGGTTCTCATTCGCATTGTTGCAAATGTGTTTTTTAGACGGCAAGAACTCTTACTTTGGCGCATAGGGTGTGTTCTCCTGGAGTACGGTAGTCCAAAAGTGAAGTCCTTAGCAATCACCCTTTTAACTGAACTCTTTGAGCTCGGAGGACTACCTATCCAGCCAGCCAGCATGTTTTTTAAGTCACTTTTGGAATTATTAAAAGACCTTGCAGAAATGGCCACTGACCAATTGCAACTGTACGAAGAGCCGCTGTCAAAGCTGATCAAAACACTATTCCCCTTTGAAGCAGACGCGTATGGAAATATTGAGCCAGTCTATTTAAATATGCTGCTGGAGAAACTCTGCATCATGTTTGAGAGTGGCGTGCTTATGCGGCTCAAGTCTGATCTGCTAAAGGGGGCCCTGTGTCATTTACTGCAGTATTTCCTGACCTTTGTGCCTGCTGGGTATGAATCGGCTCTCCAAGTCAGGAAGGCCTATGTGAGGAACATCTGCAGAGCTCTTGTGGACATTCTCGGGGCTCAAGTAGATGAAGAGGTGAGTGGTTGCCAAGTTACTGGCTAAGGATACGTTTTGCACAGGTAAATTTTCTGTTTATGTTCAAGTTGTAGCAATGAGAAAAACAATACATCTTTAATAATACGTCTATGGTTTTTATTACCTAGTCATGACCCCTGGTATAGACTTGTACTTTGACTTCAGAAGAATTCATTCAGAAGGCTTGTTTGTTCCATTGTTGATGGATTGTTAGTAGACTAGAATGCTTTCAAATAGAATTTGTGAGGCCTAAATGTGTTAGTTGCATTGTTCATTAAAAAGGAGCTTAAATTCAGAAATTTTGATTACTCTGATTAGAATCAATCACGTTAAGAAAACCTGTAATTCCTCATACCATACCATGCCCTTTCTCATTGGACATGGTAGCTACGGATGTAAACTGAAATATTCTGGCTGATAGTAACTGAAACATGGAGGTTTAAACATCTTAGTTTAACTGCCAGGCAGCAGTGTATCACTCCTATAATCCTAGCTACTCAGGAGGCTGAGATCTGAGGATCTTGGTTCAAAGCAGCCCAGGCAGGAAAGTCCGTGAGACTCTTATCTCCAATAAACCACTAGAAAACCGGAAGTGGCACTGTGGCTCTAGTGGTAGAGTGCTTGCCTTGAGCTGAAGAGCTGAGGGACAGCGCCCAAGTCCAGAATTCAAGCCCCACAACTGAAAAAAAAAAATCTTAGTTTAACTGTGTTGCTGCACTTGAGATGTGAAAGAAGTTACTAATTCCCTTTCAGAGTTTTTTTCTTTGTAGTATTTTGAGAGAGGGAAAAACAGTTGAGAGGATTTGTCTTCCTCCTTGTAAGACTGTATTGACACAGTACAGATGAAGTTGGAGGCTGGTTTGCCTATGGCTCTATGTTATAGAGAACATGTCACTAGTACCTGAGGCATTCATAAAGATTGTGCAATCATTTTGTTTTCTCAGTACTTGTTGGGTCCACTTTATGCTGCCCTGAAAATGGAGAGTGTGGAGGCGAGTCCATGCTGGACTAAACAGGAAGATGGCAGCAGCACCAGTGATGAGATCTCTCCCAAAAGGCGCAGGCACAGTTCCTCCATCTCGTCCCAAAGAGAATCAGAGCAATCCAAAGAGTAGGACTTCGTTCACGTGTGTCTGTGTGTGTATGTGTGTGTGTGTGCGCGTGCATACGTGTGCACACAAACTTGGCCTGCTAGCTTTCCCTTTGCTTTTTTGTTCAAAGCTGGTGCTCCACCACTTGAACTACAGCTCCACTTACAGTTTTTGGGGGGCTTTGAACCTCGATCCTCAAATCTCAGCCTTGTGAGCAGCTAGGGTTACTGGCATGAGCCACTGTGCCTACCCCGGGTTTATGCTCCATTCAGTCCTTTCAGAAACCAATTTAAATAACAAGGAATTTTTTTCTAAGCGGACAGCGGAATGCTTAAAATATTTTTAATGATTCTTTTGGTTTATTCTAGTTCAAAACATTTCATGGCTAAATATAGTTTCAGTGATATTTCAAGTATATTAAAAACTAAATTAAATATGTGAAAAATTCACAGTAACTATATTTAGCCGTCAAGGAGGAGTTTTTCAAATGTTAACAAATCAATGATTCTATAATGTAGCCAAAGAATTGTCATATTTGAGCCAGGCTGAACACTGTTTTAATTGTTGCTTAAATCTATCTTAGTATAGATAGAAGTTTATATTTCATTATAGTTCTTGTTTTAAGTATATGTATATAGTATATTTATGAATATTTGTATATGTGTGTATGTACATATACCCACTTTTTTTTTTGATAGCAGGATCTTACATGTACTAAACATACACTAGCCAGGCGCCAGCTACTCAGGAGGCTGAGATCTGAGAATCATGGTTTGAATCCAATTTGGGCAAGAAAGTACAGGAGACTCTTTTTTTTTTTTTTTTTGGGTCCGGTCGTGAGGCCTGAACTCTGGGCCTGGGTGCTGTCCCTCAGCTCTTCAGCTCAAGGCAAGCACTCTACCACTTGAGCCACAACGCCACTTCCGGCTTTTTTCTTTTTGCTTATGTGGTGCTGAGGAATCGAACCCAGGGCCTCATGCATGCAAGGCAAGCACTCTACCACTGAGCCACCTTCCTAGCCCCCAGGAGACTCTTATCTCCAATTACCAAAAAAAGCTGGAAGCAGAGCTCTGACTCAAGTGGTAGAGCACTAGCCTTGAGCTGGCTCAGGGACAGCATCCAGGCCCTGAGTCTAAGCGCCAAGACTAGAACAAAAAATAAAAATTTAAAATAAAAAAGTACTCTACTACTGAGCTTTAAATTATATTGAAATAATTTATATTGAATTGTATATTTAATTGAATATATCCAAATTTATATTGAATAGTAATATCATTCTACTTGGTTATAATTAATTCTAGCCTGGATCACATGGATATGAGTGAAAAAAGCCTGCTCTGGAGTACACTGAAACACAAAGCTGAGGCTCTTCAGGCTTCCCTTGAATGTAATCTTGCAAAGAATCACATAACCGAGACTTTAGAAGGACTCACTGTTGTCTTACAGCTGGCTGCTCTGTGCACTGTGCACCGTTCATCAGAATACATGGAGTGGTAAACACCTTCTTGTGTTTTCTTGGTGGGCTTTCAGGAGTCTTGATTATTTGCTCAATTTCTGTGACTTAGAACACATACTTTGAATGAAGTAGATCAGTTTCATCTCTTGCTGAGTGTCTATTAAATGCTGGCCACTGAGCTAAGTAGTAAGCTTACTAATCTTTACAGCCAAATCCATTCTCAAATCAGAAGAGTGATGGAAGCCAACATAAAGAGAAAATAATGACAGTTGATTTGCATATTTTCATTAAATTGGCTTTATTGTAATAATTGCGTTTAACTTAAACAAGACTCATTTTCATCCTAATGTCTTAAAAAATGTATTCACTGCAGCCATGACTTCAACTGCCAAGACGGAAGCAAGAAGAATTCTCCAATGGCCATGACTTGGATGCCTTTGGATTTTTACTCGAAAGTGCTAAAGAGCTCTAGGAGTTTGTTAGAATCTGTTCAGAAGTCTGAATTGGAGGTGGTCATTGATAAAGTGGTGAAAATTTATGATGCTTTGATTTATATACAAAGTGAGTAAGCTGTAAGACAGAATAATTTATGGCAGCGTAGAAATATGCTGTTTGGGGCTGGGAATGTGGATTAGTGGTTAAGTGCTTACCTAGTATGATGAAGCCCTCAGTAACACACACACACACACACACACACACACACACACACACACACACACACACACACACACACACACACACACACACACACACACACACACACACACACACGAGGCCGGAAGTGGTTCTGTGGCTCAAGTCGTAGAGTGCTAGCCTTGAGCACAGAGATGCTCAGGGACAGTGCCTAGGCCTTGAGTTCAAGCCCAGGACTGGCAAAAAAAATTTTTTTTTAATATACTAAGTACAGAAATGTTAGTAATGAGTAGTTTTTCCTTGATGTTGATTGAGCTTGTCAGTGATTTATTTTTTGTTGTTAATGTGGAGCTTGAACTCAGGGCCTAGATACTGTCCCTGAGCTTCTTTTGCTCAAGGCTAGTACTCTATCACTTTGAGCCACAGTTTCACTTCTGATTTTCTGATGGTTAACTGGAGATAAGAAAGAGTCTCTGGTTCTTTGCTTCCCTAGGTTGACTTTGAAACATGATCCTCAGATCTCAGCCTCCTGAGTAGCTAGGATTACAGGTGTGAGCCACTAGTAGTACCTGGCTAGTCAGCAATTTCTGAGTTTCACATTGCTATAAGTCATTATTCTTCAGTCAGTAATAATTTCCGCATAACTTTGAAGTGTTTTGATTTGAGAAGCTGAAGAGTGCCGCAGTCTTTTTCCTAACAAGTGCATAGCTGCGTATTTTTAAGTCACATTTAGTTTCTTTGGCTCATGAGACCAGAATTGTAGCTCAGTGGCAGAGTGCTTGCTTCACTTGAGCAAAGCCCTGGGTTCAATCTCCAGAACTGCATACAACAACATTATTTATGACCCCTTAAATTAACAACCCCCATACCAGGCACTGGTAGCTCAGGCAGTAATCCTAGATACTCAGAAGACTGAGATCTGAGGAGCTTAGTTCAAAGCCAGCCAGTCAGAAAGTCCGTGAGATTATTTCTAATTAACCACCAAATAGCCAGAAGTGGACGTGTGGCTCAAGTGGGAATGTGTTGGCCTCAGGTGAAAAGACAAAATCTTGAGGCCCTAAATATAATCTCCAGTACACACACACACTCTCTCTCTCTCTCTCTCTCTCTCTCTCTCTCTCTCTCTCTCTCTCTCTCTGTCTCTCTCTCTTGGAGCCACACAGCCACCTGTACTTGATGTCCATTAAAATGCCATTCATATGATTAAGCAATAGATGTAACAGATGTCCTGTTGTGTGTTTCTGCAGTAAAACGTTCATTTGAAGATGAGATTCTGGAAGATTTGTGTGGAATGCTCTCACTCCCGTGGCTTTCTTCCCTCTCTGATGATGACCCTTCGAAACTTCCTGCATTTGCCTCTCCTCTTCTGAGACTAAGCCAGAGGGTTTCAGGCAGCTACTGTAAGAGATCCCAAAATTGTTGTTTTAATGCATTTCTGTTATGTGGAATTTCTTTTTTTGTTTTTGTTTTTTTTTGGGGGGGGGGTCCAGTCGTGGGCCTGACCTCTGGGCCTGGGCACTGTCCCTCAGCTCTTCAGTTCAAGGCTAGCACTCCACCACTTGAGCCACAGCGCCACTTCCGGCTTTTTTTTCCTGTATATGTGGTGCTGAGGAATCAAACCCAGGGCCTCATGCATGCAAGGCAAGCGCTCTACCACTGAGCCACCTTCCCAGCCCTATGTGGAATTTCTAATGCTTACTTATACTTTTTTTCAGTAACAAGGAGGAAAGGTATTTTCAATAATTCAAGAAAGAGTTGTATGGAAAGTAATAAAACAATACCCTCAAGGTTGAGATATACCCTTGAGTATCTTTGTTTTTAAGAAACTTGTGAAATATTTGAAGAACACACACAAAACAAAGTAGTGAGAATCTGCATTTTAACAGGATCCGGAGATTCCTATGCTCATTGAAGTTTGAGGTCATTAAGGTCACTACCAGAAGTAGGGTCCTGAGTTACAAGGTTTACACATTCATTGTGTTAGGCTGTATTATCCTCCAAAGGTGTGCCCATTCACACACCCGTCTAGAGAATAGGAGACTGCGCCCGTTCCACCTCCTCACCTATACATGACACTGTTAGTATTGAAAGTATTTACTATTTAGGCTGGGCCAGAATGGAGCCTGTCTAAACTCCAGATGTGCAGGGAGCAGGAAGGTTGAAGCTGAAGGTAAGTTTGGGCAAAAAGGTAATGAGACTATCTCAACCGACAAGCTGAGCATGGCAGTTGCATATCTGCAGCCCTAGCCATGTGGAGGGTAGAGGCAGGTGGATTGCTGTAATAAGACATATCTAAGACCCTCTCAGAAGTAACTAGAGCAAAACATGGCAGAGGATGGGGCTTAGGTGGTAAAGTGGCAAGCCCAGGGCTTGAGTTCACAACACAGGACTGCCGAATACACCAAAGAAGAAAACTTTATAGAGAGAACTGTGCTGTTATTTTCTGTCTGTCAAGGTTCCTGATTTGTTTTCTGATAAGATTTAACTTAGATATTCTGTGTTATGTAGCACAGAATATGTTATGTAACACACGTGCATGTGTATTTCTATAAGTCAATTTTAACACTGTTAGAAATCTAGTTTAATTCACTTCTTTATCTCTCTTTTTTTGTTTTGAAGCACTTCCAGCACTGTCACGATGTGTGTTTCTTTTGACTCTGTTTCCAAGAAGAATATTCCTGGATTGGAGAACAGCGGTTTACAGCTGGGCCCTGCAGAGCTCCCAGGAAGCCATCCGCGCCAGTTGTGTGAATGGATTTTTTATCTTGTTGCAACAGCCAAGTTCCTGTGACACAGTTCCCCAGATGCTTTTGTATGTATGAATATTTTCATGTGAATATATCACTCTGTTCTAGAACATAGTAATTCTTTAACCGTCTATGCAAATTACATCTATTGCTGAAAATACAAAGCAAAGATTGTTTTTCCTCATGTTGGAATTTGTTTTCCTACTAACCTTTATCTTTCCTATATTTTTGTCTTCTTTTTTGGTGGGGAGCAGTGGGTCGGTTGTGGGTCTTGCTTGAACTCTGGGCCTGGATGCAGTCCCTCAGCTCTTCAGTTTAAGGCTAGCTATCTACCACTTTAGCCACAGTAGCGCTTCCAGTTTTCTGATGGTTAATTGGAGATAAGAGTCTCATAGACTTTCCTGCCTGAGCTGGATTCCAACCATGATCTTCAGATCTCAGCCTCCAGAGTAGCTGGGATTACAGGCTTGAGCCACTGGCACCCAGGTGTCTTTTTGTATTTTAAGTAAATCTATTCCATATATTAAGAAGTGAAATACATTGTCTTTTATCTCCCAGAGATAAAGTCAAGGACGATTCTGACATGGTGAAGAAAGAATTTGCTTCCATACTTGGTCAGCTTGTCTGTACTCTCCATGGCATGTTCGATCTGAGCAATTCTTTAGTGGAACCTGACATTGGGCACGGCCCTGTGGGCCTCTTCTGCAAGAATGTGAAAGCTATGTCTCAGATGAAGTGTTCTTCTTTCCAGCTGAAGGCTTCCATTTGCAAGCCAGTCCTATTCCTCTTGAAAAAGCAAACACCTAGTCCTGTAAAACTTGGTGAGCCATTGTGACTGCCTTCATATTTCATTTTATTTTGTGGAATTTTATTATCTTTTGTCAGTTCTGGGGCTTGAACTCAGGGTCTTCCACTCGCATTTAGCTTATTTCACTCAAGGCTGGTGCTGTCCACTTGAGCCACAGCTCCACTTTCTCTTGTTCAATTGAAAACAAGAGTCTCATGGACTTTCCTGCCCAGGCTGGCTTCAGACCATGATATTCAGATTTCAGCCTCCTGAGTGGCTGGTGAGCCACCAGTAGTACCTGGCTCTAACGAATATTTTAAAACCTTTTCAAGCACATTTTTTTTAATATCATAGAAAAAAATTAAAGAAATTTGAATTCTGTTTTCTTTTTTTTATGTTTTTTTTATTATAAAAATACCATACTGAGGGGTTACCAGTTACATGAGTAAGGCAATTAGTACTTTTCCTATCAAGCATTGTTACTTCCTCCTTTGTTTTTCCCCTACCATCCCTTCCCTCCCTACCTCCCCGTATTAGTTCTATTTTAATCTCCTGCAACTCTGTGCTGTATATACTTAAGTATTAAGTGTTGACAAGATAACTTGGGATTATTTGTAGCACATTACTGACAATATTTTTATTGCACAACCTTGTTGTGTAATAGGTGAAATTAAATAATGTATCTTCTTGCCCTCTAGCTTTCATAGACAATTTGCATCATCTTTGTAAGCACCTTGATTTTCAGGAAGATGAAACAGATGTAAAAGTGGTTCTCGGGGCCTTTTTAAACTTAATGGAGGATCCAGACAAGAATGTTCGAGTGGCGTTTAGTGGAAACATTAAGCACATACTGGAATCCCTGAACTCTGAAGATGGATTTATAAAAGAGGTTGATTATTTAATTTCTTAATGTTTCAAATTGTTTTGAAAGTGAAGGGAAAGCCATGAGGTTCCCCATCTGTAGAGGGGCCTGGTCATTTTTATACAGGAATCCTGATCATTTTTATACAAGAGCCCTGATCATTTTTATACAGGAGTCCTGGTCATGTTTATTTTGAATAGTGTTCATAAACCTGGCTCTCGATTTTCTTTAACCACTTAATTTTCTTGTTTAGCTTTTTGTCTTAAGAATGAAGGACGCATATACACACGCCCAAATCTCACGCAATAACGAACTGAAGGATACCTTGATCCTTACAACAGGCGACATCGGAAGGTATATTAGCAACATTCGCAATCTCTCTTACCTAGATTTTGTCTCTGTCTTCTTTCCTTTGCCTAGTACTAGAAATGATGAGGGCTGGTGTACAGCTCACTGGCGGACGCCTGCCTAGCTAGAGGCCCTGCACTCTGTACTCCAAGAAAAAACAAGAAAAAAAGAAAGCAAAATAGACATTTTAGAGAAAACATGAGATCTAGCGTGTGTACATTTGTAGATTTGCATTCGTCTGAAACAGTGGTATGTTTAATATGTCATTTTCTTTTTCTTTTTTTAGAGCAGCGAAAGGAGATCTAGTACCTTTTGCACTCTTACACTTGTTGCACTGTTTGTTATCTAAGTCAGCATCGGTCTCTGGAGCAGCATACACAGAAATTCGAGCTCTTGTTGCAGCTAAAAGTGTTAAGCTACAAAATTTTTTCAATCAGTATAAGAAGCCCATCTGTCAGGTGAGAGTCAGCATTCATCTTTGTTACAGGCAATAGCAGTCTTCACATGAGTTTTACAAAGAGAAAGAAAAAAAGCTAGGCAGTGTCTTACTCCTCATCCCAACTAGTTGGGTTTGAGACCATGCCAGGCAATGCTGTGTAAAAAGAGACAGGCAAAACCAAAAAAGCCATATATGCATATTTTATTTTGACTATTTTTCAAGTTATATATCTATTTTAAAGGAGCTGAAGTTTTATATTTTAGCATATTGGCCTGAAGATGTAGTACAAAAATAAGAGTTGGAAATTCTTGTAAGAGTACCTTGAATCACTACACTATCTTCCATGTTCAGTGAGATGCCTTTTCTTTCTTTCTTTCTTTCTTTCTTTCTTTCTCTTTTTTTTTTTTTTGTCAGATATGGGGCTTGAACTCTGGGCCTGGGTGCTGTCCCTCGGTTCTTCAGCTCAAGGCGAGCACTTTACCGCTTGAGCCACACTGCTTCTGGTTTTGTAGTGGTTTATTGGAGATGAGTCTCAAGGAGTTTCCTGCCCGGGCTGGCTTTGAACCACCGTCCTCAGATCTAAGCCTCCTGAGTAGCTAGGATTATAGGCGTGAGTCACCGGTGCCCAGTGAAATGCCTTTCTTTTTAGCCTCTTTAATGATAAACTCTTGATATTTTGGCTATGGCATTTTGTTTTCAGAAAGGAATATTCAGTTAATGGCTGAAAGGTTAGACTATGGTAAAATAGTAGTTTTATCCTGTATTTGTGCTATAATCCTGAGCATATTAGTGACATTGTTTTACTTAGCCTGGTTGCCATCACTAAAGGGAGATTATAACACATCCACTTTATTAAGGTTGGTATAAGAACTAAAGAAGCCAATTTGGACAATACACGGTTGATAATGTTCTTTCCAGCAGCTTAAAAAGTACTCGTTGAAATTTCTTCCTTGGGTGGAAACAAATCAAGTTGTTTTGTTGTAGTTCTTGGTGGAGACTCTCCACTCGAGTCAGATGGCGGCACTCTCCGGTAGTAGCACCCTGTATCAGACTGCCGAGATGCGACTGCGAGATGACGCTCACCACAGAGAAATGGCCTTAAATACCTTGTCTGAAATCGCCAATGTTTTTGACTTTCCTGACCTGAATCGTTTTCTTAATGTAAGTTTCACTGGCCTGTGACCCATCAAGGTTTTCAATCAATATTTTATGCATTTACATAGCCTGGCTTTTCCTTCCCTGCCTTCCTTCTTCTTCCCTCCTTCCCTTCTTCCTTCCTTCCTTCCTTCCTTCTTTCCCTCCTTTCCTCTTTCCTTCCTTGCTTGCTTACTTGCTTTCGTTCTTTCTAAGGAAAAATCTGGCAAGTGTAGTGAGATCATGTGGATCCTAGATCTTTAATTTTTGTGTCTTTACTTTGATATGAAATGATCAGACTATTTATGTTGACTTATACTTATTCTAGACAGTTAGCTATGCAATTGGTTTGGTTAGTTCTTTGAGCCTATTTGTCTTAAATATTATGATTGGTAATTTAAAACAGGCAATTCAAAGACTGATGTCATTCCCATCTCTAAGGAGTTGTGAAAAAGTGAGTTCAAATGCCCTAACTATTGGGCAATTCATTGGGATTGAGATGTAAAACATAATGGACTAGGGCTTGGAAGGTGGCTCAGTGGTAGAGTGCTTGCCTTGCATGCATGAGGCCCTGGGTTCGATTCCTCAGCATCACATAAGCAGAAAAATCCAGAAGTAGCACTCTGACTCAAGTGGTAGAGCGCTAGCCTTGTGCTGAAGAGCTGAGGGACAGTACCCAGGCCCAGAGTTCAGGCCCCATGACTGACACCAAAAAAAAAAAAAAAAATTATATTTAAAAAAAAACCATAATGGACTAGACTGTCTTCTTTTCTCCAAAGCAGAGTTTATTCCTACTCTTAATAAGTTAACAATAGCAGTCTGTAAAGAATGCTTTCATGCAGTGGTACTATATTTAACAAATTTAAACTGCTTGTAAGTTTGTTACATTCCAAAAAGATATATGACAGGGTATGGTATCTCAGAAGATACCTTTTTATTCATTCATTCCTCCAAAGGGCATAGGTTGCTTTGTTTTTTGTTTTGTTTTGTTTTGTTCTTCTTTTCCCTTGGTGGGGCCTGAATTCTAGGCCTGGGTGCTGTTCCTCAGCTCTTCTGCTCAAGGTGAGTGCTCTACCAATTGAGCCACATAGCATCACGTCCAATTTTCTGGTGGTTTATTGGAGATAAGAGTCTCATGGAATCTCCTGCCCCAGCTGGCTTTGAATCACGAGCTCAGATCTCAACTCTCAGCCTCCCGATTAGCTAGGATTTCAGACGTGAACCACCACACAGGTGTTTATGTCCACATTATCCAAGCAGCAAAACCAGACAAAAATAAAACCCTGAGAAGAAATCAAATGTCTTGATTTATTTGTGTTTGGAAGTTCTCAGGGCCTCACGTTTGCTGGGCTGGTGCTATTCTACCAGGTGAGCCACACCTCCAGCCAAGGCCAAAACATTCTGTGTTTGGATTTTGTGTGTGTTATGAATGAGAACTTAAAAGGCAATGAACCATAATGAAAGTAGGTTTGTTGCAGTATTGGGATATTAGGTTCATTTAAAGGTTTTCTTTAATATTGCACCACTGAATCCTTTATAAAAGTTTGCCAGGTACGTTTATGGTTATTCTGTAAATACAAGATAAGTTAAAGAATATATCCGACTAGGAACTTCTTCCTTAGAGTGTGTACTTACTTTAACACACACATAAGAAATTATCCCCTTTACGTTTACGTTTGCTTCCTTCCTATGTCTCTCTCTCCATGTTTACAATGTGAACTTACCATATCACCAGCACTTACCTAGTGTGTTCTTTGCTGTATTGGTAGTGCCTGAATTATAGTAGATACTCATAGGTATCAGTCAAGTGAATAAATGGTAAGTCTGACTGCAGGGGAAGTCATGTATGGACTCCTGTAATTTATGCGGCATCTAAGACTACCTCTTTGTGTAGTTGATCTGAGAATGCAAGTGACCACTGTGTTCTTTTTCAGCGGACGTTGCAGGTTCTGCTCCCCGACCTTGCCGCCAAAGCCAGCCCAGCAGCGTCTGCCCTCATTCGAACTTTAGGAAACCAGTTAAATGTCAATCGCAGAGAGATTTTAATCAATAACTTCAAATATATCTTTTCTCACTTGGTTTGTTCCTGTTCCAAAGATGAATTAGAACGTGCCCTTCATTATCTGAAGGTACCAGAGTATTTGTGTACGTTTTATTCTGCTGTTGAAGTTAGCATCATAAGAAACCTAACTTTCTTTTTTTTTTTTTGGGTCCGGTCGTGGGGCCTGAACTCTGGGCCTGGGCACTGTCCCTCAGCTCTTCAGCTCAAGGCTACGCTCTACCACTTGAGCCACAGCGCCACTTCCGGCTTTTTTCTTTTTGCTTATGTAGTGCTGAGGAATCGAACCCAGGGCCTCATGCATGCAAGGCAAGCGCTCTACCACTGAGCCACCTTCCCAGCCCCAGAAACCTAACTTTCTAATGGACAAGGAGCCCAAATAATTTACAGCCTATGCTGGAATAAACTTAAATGATGTTATGTGACATAATCTTTGCCCTAGGACAATATTGAATGGGATTATTCTTTTCCTTTTTTTCTTGTTCATTTCACCATCCTGGGATAGAATAATCTGCTTTTATTTTAGTATTTTTGGTCCATCAAAGATAAGTTGGCTGATGATATACAAGTAATTACATCTTACAGGAAGAGACAAACATCTTCCAACTATAATATATATATATATATATATATATATATATATATATATATATATATATATATATATACTTAGTGTAGTTACTTGATCTCTGCTTATAGTTTTACCCAGTTTCTTGGTAGTATATATTTGGGTGTTTGTTTTTGCTTAAAAGGTTTGTTTGACAGTACTGGGGTTTTAAGTTCCTGCTAGGCAAGTACTCTATCCTGTGAGCCACATCCCAATCCTTTTTGCTTTGGTTATTTTAGTGTCTTGGATTTTTGCTCAGGGTTTCAATCCTCCTACTTACGTTTCCTGTGCAGCCTCATGCCAAGCTTTTTTGTTGAGATGGAGGTCTCACCATCTTTTGCCCACACTGGCCTTGGACCTTGACCCTCCTGACCTCGCCTCCTGAGTAGCTGGTATTTATTCATGAGGCCCTGTGCCTGCTCTCTTAGTCATTTTTTAATTTAACGTTATAGCTTGTGTTTGTTTTTTTTTTTTGTGTCATATTACAAGTATCTTTGAGGAATATGAGACTGGCAGAAATATACATATGACTTGTTTTCTCTGATATTTCGTTTTTCATAATAGGACAGCTGCAGATATTTTTCCACATGAGAATTATTGAATATTGCTAATATTTATTCCTCTTGAAAAAGTAAATCTGTGTGATGTAGAGGTAGAATGATAATAATAAGTATTTGTGGAATGCACATTACATGTTAGGAACTGCTCAATCCACATTGCTATACGGATCAATTCACTTAATCCTCAAGGGTGCTCAATAAGAGAAAGGTAGGTACTGCAGATTGTCCCCCACCAAAATGCTTGGGACCAGATTTCAAATTGTTTTAAAATTTTGGGAAATTTGCATATTCATAATGAGATATCTTAGAGTAGGACCAAAGTCTAAACATGGGATTTATTTATGTTCTTTATATACCCTTATTAAACACAGAGCCTGAAGAGAATTTATGCAGTGTTTATGAACTTTTCTTTTTTTGTGTGTGGTAGTAGGGATTGAACTTGTGGCTTTGTGGTGGTAGGCAAACTGCAGGTGAGCCACAAGCCATCCTTGTCCTTAGAATTTTGCTTTCAGACAAAGTCTTGGTAACTTTCCCCAAGCTGATGTAGTACTCACGATCTTCTTCACTCCACCTCCTGAGTAGCTGGGATTAAAGACATGAACCACCATTTTGCCTCATGGCATCCCCCTCCTATCAGTGCACAGACAGGTTTCAGATATGGGAGTATTTTTAGTTAGGGATTCTTGACGCTACATTAGCTTTTGTTTACAGAAAAGGGAATTCAGGCAGAGAGAGGTTACATTGGTGACTTTTCCAGATCACAGCACACATGATAAGTGGCAGAGCTAGAATTTAAACCCCAATGTTCTATCCAGAAGAACTGCTTGAGGACTCTGCATTGTATTTGCTGCCAGGGTTTGATGATATAGTGAGACCTTAGATAAAACTGGAGCTCTTCAAAGTTCTATTTCAGAGTGAAGTCTGATCGCTTTTCTTCATTGCTATAACCCATGGTGGAACTATGTGGAAGGGAGAGGATTGGAATTATTTTCCAGTGGTCTTCTCTTCAGTTCCCTCAGTAAATCACATGACCTGCTTAGAGCTCCTATTTACTAATCCCATGTTGAAATCAATATACTGATTTTTGGGGTGTCAACATGAAAAAAAAACTTTGTTTTACTCTTTTGGGGTTAGAATGAAACGGAAATTGAGCTGGGAAGTCTGCTGAGACAGGATTTCCAAGGCCTGCACAATGAGTTACTGCTGCGCATTGGAGAACATTATCAGCAGGTGTTCAACGGTCTGTCCATCCTTGCCTCCTTTGCCTCCAGCGATGACCCGTACCAGGGCCCACGAGGCACCATGTCACCGGAACTCATGGTGAGAACACTAGTGGGTGGTGGCATTGTTGTGTGCTTTATTCCTTTATTAGAATCTCATTAGACGTTGAAGAAACTTTCTTTATTTCCCAGTGGATAGACTGTCCTTTTTTCAAGAAAAAAGTGATTATTATTACAGAGGTGATGTATGAGGGGAGCGGGTTACACTTAGTAAGTCAGGTAAAGAGTACACTTCCTTTTGGAAGTGATCCTTCACTCCCACTCCCTGGATTGTCTGTTAGAGTTGGGATCTTTACTTTGGAAAAAAAGGTTGATTTGACTTGCATGATCGCAGAAGACACTGCTATCATAGTAGCTTTGAAAAAATGTGGATTTCCAAGTGATTTTGGAGACTTTACCAAATGAAAAGTGAAGGTTTTCTTTTTTAGTACCCCTATGTGGTTGTACCAAATGATTTCAGTTCAGCATGTCAGTTTATGGGTATAGTGCATCTTGATCAATGTCACCCCTCCATTGTTCTCCTCCAAGTTTTTCCTCATTTTTTTTTGGGGGGGGGGTCAGTCGTGGGACTTGAACTCTGGGCCTGGGTGCTGTCCCTGAGCTCTTCAGCTCAAGGCTAGCACTCTGCCACTTTACCACAGTAACATTTCTGGTTTTCTGAGTGGTTTATTGGAGATAAGAGTCTCACAGACTTTCCAGCCTGGGCTGGCTTTGAACCGCGATCCTCAGATCTCAGCCTCCTGAGTAGCTAGGATTACAGGCGTGAGCCACTGGCACCCGGCATCTCATTATTTTTGAACTACATTATAGGTGTCTTGACACCCTGTGCCCTCTTCCAAGTACACTGTCCTTGACAAAGCAAACTAAGGTATCAAAATGGAGACACAAGCTGGGCACTGGTGGCTCACACATGTCATCCTAGCTACTGAAGATCTGAAGATCATAGTTCAAAGCCAGCCCAGGCAGGAAAGTCTGTGAGAGTTTTATATCCGCTGAACCACCAGAAAACCAGAAGTAGAGTTGTGGCTCAAAGTGGTAGAGCCAAAGAGCTCAGGGACAGCATCCAGGCCCTGAGTTCAAGGTCCTTGACCACTACCACCAAAAACCCAAAAAACTGAGACTCAAACCGGGTCTGACTGACCCAAAGCCCATTCCCTCTTCAACTAGAAGAAAGTGAGCAGTGTTCCTGTAAGGAGAACACAGTTGCATGGCCAGGGAGGTCTAGCCTGTAACTGATGATGCCTGCAATCCTTGGCCCTTTCACCATCGCTACCTTGGATATTGGCCTTAATAGCAGAGCACTGCTGTGGTAGCACCTTTCCTTAATGAGGTGCTCTGTAGCGCTGGATGCTCTAGAGGACAGTAGCTTGTCTCTCTAGTCCTCTTGTCTCTACTCTGGATTCTGGTGAGAATCAGATCCTCAGGGCCCTACTAACTCATTCCATGGGCTGAAAGCTTAGGGTTTTCTCATTGTACTCATTGCAGTGCTTGTTTACCTCTGTTTTGTGGTGATGAGGGATTAATTTCTTAAAGTAGTCACTATGAAAACTTAAGACTTTTGGAGAAACAGTTTATCATGTGTACAGTTCTAATAGTCTAATGTAATTTAGGTAGAAATACAGATGATGTCAATTAAATAATTGTGAATTTAAGAAATCATGGACTAGCCAGGCACTGGTGGCTCACACCTGTAATCCTAGTTACTCAGGAGGCTGAGATCTGAGGATCACGGTTCAAAGCCAGCCTGGGCATGAAAGTCTGTGAGACTCTTATCTCCAATAAAAACTACTAGAAAACCAGAAATGGCATTGTAGCTCAAGTGGTAGAGTGCTTGCCTTGAGCTGAAGAGCTGGGGGACAGCGCCCAGGCCAAGAGTTCAAGCCCCACGACCGACAAAAAAAAAAAAAAAAGAAATGGACTTAGCCTGGGAATGCGGCTTAGTGATAGAGTGCTGGCCTAGCATGTATGAAGCCCTGGGTTCGATTCCTCAGTACCACGTGAACAGAAAAAAAACAGAAGTGGCACTGTGGCTCGTTGTAGACTGCTATAGCCTTGAGCAAAAGACGCTCAGGGACAGTGCCCAGGCCTTGAGTTCAAGGCCCAAGACCAGCAAAAACAAAAACAAAAAAAAAATCATGGGCTGAAATCCAAGCTTATTGTAAGAGCGCATGTCTAGCAAGTAAGGACCTGGGTTAAATCTGTAGTAATGGAAAGCAAACAAATTTGGCCCAGTGCCAGTGGCTTACACCTATAATCGTAGCTACTGAAGAGGCTGAGATCTGGGGCTTGCTGTTCAAAGCCACCCCAGGCAGGAAGTGAAACACTCAAAATGATAGAGCACTAGCCTTGAATGTAAAAGCTCAGGGAAAGCACCCAGGCCCCACCACCACCAAAAAAAAAACAAAAAAAATTATGTGTATAAAACTTTATGGTTATGTTTTGTTTTCCCATAGGCTGATTATTTACAACCAAAGCTGCTAGGCATTTTGGCGTTTTTTAATATGCAGTTACTGAGCTCTAGTGTTGGCATTGAAGATAAGAAAATGGTAAGTAAGCAAGACTTGAGTTGGAGAGCACTAGAAGAGAATTCATACAGCACCTGCAGGAGACTGCTACAAGAATGTAGCTTCTAGCTGCATCCACAGAAGATAAGTAATCCAATATAATGCCTATATATTGCTGAGGCCAATTTGCATAAGCTTTTTAGGAGTCTTAAAAATAGGAACTGTACTTGGGAGGCCAACATTAGGAGGATCATGATTCAAGACTTAAGTTCTTCATAAGCTGGACATTTTAGCTAGACTTTGTATACTGCTAGTAGATAGCTTATACCCTTAGGTTTGGATGGGAAGCACTTGTCCGTGGAGCTGTCTCACTAGGCAGCTGGTTTATAAGCTTTACCTGAAAGCACTGTTACTTTGTAGGCCCTGAGCAGTTTGATGTCTCTGATGAAGTTGATGGGACCCAAACATGTCAGTTCTGTAAGGGTGAAAATGATGACCACACTGAGAACTGGCCTTCGATTCAAGGACAATTTTCCTGAACTGTGTTGCAGGTAAGTGACTGATCAAGTTTGTTTTTATGTATTTTCTAGTAGTACAACCTTGAGTTCCTAGCCATAGGAGGGAAAATGGTGCCACACTGGAGATAAGGGTCTCATGGACTTTCCTGCCCTGGGCTGGCTTTGAACCTCGATCCTCAGATCTTAGCCTCCTGAGTAGCTAGGATTAGAGGTGAGAGCCACCAACACCTGGCCTTTTTTTTTTTTTGGCGGTTGGGCAGCCTGAACTTGGCCTGGGCACTGTCCCTCAGCTCTTCTGCCCAAGGCTAGTGCTCTACCACTTGAGCCACAGTGCCAGTTCCGGCTTTTTCTGCTTATGGGGTACTGAGGAATAGAACCCAGGACCTCATGAATGCAAGGCAAGTGCTCTACCACTGAGCCACCTTCCCAGCCCATGTGTTTGTTTGTTTTTTAAATTTAATTTAATTTTATTTGTGAACATACTGTACAGAGGAGTTACAGTTACATGGGCAGGATAATGCGTACATTTCTTACCAAGCATTGCTCAGCCCATGTGTTTTTATTTTTAATGACAAAATTTTTTACAGTTGGGGCTGGGAAGGTGGCTCAGCGGTAGAGTTCATGCCTTGCAAGCATGAGGCCCTGGGTTTGATTCCTCAGCACCACATAAACAGAAAAAGCCGGAAATGGTGCTGTGGCTCCAGTGGTAGAGCTCTAGCCTTGAGCTGAAGAGCTGAGGGACAGCGCCCAGGCCCAGAGTTCAGGCCCCAGGACCGGCAAAAAAAAAAAAAATTAAATTTTTTTTACAGTTGTGATTTGATGTTTCTGTTGTTTCAAAGCATTAAAGACAGATAATAACTGATTGCCCACATTTAGTAATGCTAAGACTAATTAGTAGCCTGAATCCCTTTATTACAATGATGTTACTAATCTTTCATTTCAATGTTTTTTTTTCTTTTTTTTTTTTGGGGGGGGGGGTGGTCCAGTCATGGGGCCTGAACTCTGGGCCTGGGCACTGTCCCTCAGCTCTTCAGCTCAAGGCTAGCACTCTACCACTTGAACCACAGCGCCACTTCCGGCTTTTTTCTTTTTGCTTATGTGGTGCTGAGGAATCGAACCCAGGGCCTCATGCATGCGAGGCAAGCGCTCTACCACTGAGCCACCTTCCCAGACTCATTTCAATGTTTTAACATTATTTATTAATGTTTAAATATTTAAAATATTAGCTTACAATTAATATTTTGATAACGTTATTGCCTGAATTTATAATCTCATTATACGTGATAAAATAGTGATTTCTAATTTTCATTATTTCTTTTATGTTTATTAGGTGGGATTCTTCTTTTATCTTTTTAGTTTTTTGAGACAGGATCTTGCTATGTAGCCTAAGCTGGCCTGGAACTTTCCATCATCCTGCCTCAGCCTCTCTGGTGTTAGGATTACGAAAGTATGTCCTAACACCTGGTTAGGTAGGATTCTTCTTAAAACAAACAAAACAAAAACTTGAGTTATTCTGAAACATTATTCATACCAGATGGGTAAGATAAATATGTGACTATACTTAACAATTTTCAGAAAATAGCAGTTTTACTGTAGTAATGTCTAGTTAAAATTTTCTTTTTTTGGTAGTATTTCAGTCACAAAGTTTTACAAATTTGATTAATTTTAATCACTATTATCAATATTATTGTTCCTCTAGCCAGTAGGGGTCCCTTTAATTTGGCACTAAAATTTTTTTTTTTTTTGTTGGTCGTGGGGCTTGGACTCTGGGCCTGGGCGCTGTCCTTCAGCTCTTCAGCTCAAGGCGAGCACTCTACCACTTGAGCCACAGTGCCACTTCCAGCTTTTTCTACTTATGTGGTGCTGAGGAATCGAACCCAGGGCCTCATGCATGCAAGGCAAGCACTCTACCACTGAGCCACCTTCCCAGCCCTGAAACTTTTTTTTTTTTTGTCAGTGGTCGGGCAAGTGTTCTACCGCTTAAGCCACAGCACCACTTCCGGTTTTCTGGTGGTTCATTGGAGATAAGAGTGTCAGGGACTTTCCTGCCTGGGTTGACTTTGAACCACAATCCTCAGATCTCAACTTCCAGAGAAGCTAGGATTACAGGTGTGAGCTACCAGCACCCGGCTAGTACTGCAACTTTTGATATGACCCAATTAATCTTTTACAGATTCTGTTTTCTAGCATGACAGGGTGTCTTACTCAATCCAGTGGATGACTATTAAGTATCATGTCAGTTTATCTTCATGATTGTATGACTGACTGAAAACTGGCCTCCTGCCACTACCCAGGGTCACAAGAAAGAGTGGTAATATTTACTTAGACCGGGGAAAGATCAAGATTCAGAATGCAATTCGTAATGAATATTTATCACATTTGTACCTTCAGAAAATTAAATATTTTTTAAATTGAACCCATTAATCAAACATCATCTGTATAAGCAAATGCTTACACAGTCACTCACGCGTTTTGTTTTATCCTGCTGCAAAAGATTGCTACCTACTTTGCTTTTTTGACTCTATAATTTACATATCATTTTGAGTATATACACTTTTGATCTTTAGTTCATATTTTCAATTTGTAATCTGTTGTATGTATATATCATCATTTCTTCGACTAATAACTGATTGTTGCACCTTTACAAATAATGGACTTTATTTTCATTTTCCACACAGAGCGTGGGACTGCTTTGTTCGGTGCCTAGACCACGCCTACCTGGGCTCCCTTCTCAGTCATGTGATAGTAGCTCTGTTACCTCTCATCCACATCCAGCCTAAGGAAACTGCAGCTATCTTTCACTATCTTATCATTGACAACAGGTATTGTAATAGCAATAAAAACAGCATCTTTTTCTACTATCATTTTATGTCACAAAGTACTGTAATTGTTTGTCATGTGGAACCATTCACTTTTTTTTTCAGCTTTATCATCTATCCATAAGCTGAAGTGACTGGCACACAATTACATGTTGAGTGGATGCTCTTCTTTTGTAGTATTGCTTCCATTGGTTTAAAATCATTAACTAGTAGAAGGGCAGTGAAAAATTATAGTTTGCCAATTTTAAAAGTTGAAGCTAAATTTACCTTTCTTCTCAAAATAAAAGACAGATGGGAGATCAGCATGAGATATTCACTTGCTTTTCTGCCATACCTTACTGGGAAACCTTTGCTTCGTCATTGTGTTTACCTTCAAACTAGTCACCAATTGTGAGCTTCTATAGGCTTCATTTTCTTGCTAGAATGGCCTTTTAAAATCATCTCCTGGGCTGGGAAGGTGGCTCAGTGGTAGAGTGCTTGCCTTGCATGCCCGAGACCCTGGGTTTGATTCCTCAGCACCACATAAGCAAAAAGAAAAAAGCCGGAAGTGGCGCTGTGGCTCAAGTGGTAGAGCGCTAGCCTTGAGCTGAAGAGCTGAAGGACAGTGCCCAGGCCCAGAATTCAGGCCCTACCACAGACCCAAAAAATAATAATAATAAAAAAAAATAAAATCATCTCCTAGCTGGGCACTGGTAGTTCATGCTTTTACTGGCTACTCAGAAGGCTGAGATTTGAGGATCACAATTTGAATTCAGTCCAGGAAGGAAAGTGTATGAGACTGTTGCATGTGTTAATGAAATCTAGAATTCTAAATTCTTACATTTTGGCCAGAAAGACTATTTATAATATTATTGTAAGCAACTTATATATTGTAGCCTCAACGAGGCTTATTTGCTCTATGAACTTTTGTTGTGTTGTTAGACAAAAATTTCTGTTTGGGAGTTGACTTCGGTCATCTGTTGCTGTATTATAAATCACTCCAAAATAGTGACTATTTTTATTTGCTCAGAATTTGCCCGTGTGATCTGAGCTCAGCTGATCCTTTCATCTGTTGGTTGTCTCAAAAGTCACTTATTGCTGAGTGCCAGTGGCTCAGGCCTAGCTACTCAGGAGGCTGAGATCCGAGGATCGCAGTTCACAGCCAGCCCAGGCAGGAAAGTCTGTGAGATTCTCACGTACAGTGAACCACCAGAAAACTGGAAGTGTCACTGTGGCACTCCCCTTGAGCTGAAGACTTCAGGTGACAGTGCCCAGGGCTAGAGTTCAAGCCCCACGACCAACAACAACAAAAAAAGGTCACTGGTCTAGCCACATTCTGCTGACAGGTATGCTCTGGTGGGCTTCTTCCTTTGTCCATTTAGTGCCAGAGCCTCTCTCTCTCTATGTGTCCTGAGCTTATTAGTGGCCAGACTTCTGGCATAGTGACTCCATGCTCTCCAGAGTACAAAAGTGAAAGCTGGTAGACCTTTTTTGTGTGTGTGCCAGTCCTGGTGCTTCCACTGAGGCCCTGGGTACTGTCTATGAGCTTCTTTCTGCTCAAGGATAGCACTCTATAACTTGAGCCACAGTGCCACTTCTGGCTTTTTTCTGAGAAGTTTATTCAAAATAAGTCTCACAGACTTTTCTACTTGGAAATTGCTTTGAACTGAGATCCTCAGATCTCAACCTCCTGAGTAGCTAGGCTTACAGGCATAAGCCACCAGCGCCCGGCTGTAGCTAGTTATTTGCAAGTATTAGTTCACTGAAGATCTTAGTTGTGGTGAGGAAGAATACTTTGCATATTGATAAAAGTATTACTTAGCACTTTGAGTTGTGTTTAAATTGAGCTTAGTTTCAACCTTTTTTGTTGTTGTTGTTGTTGTTGTTGGTCGTGGGGGCTGAACTCTGGGCCTGGGCACTGTCCCTCAGCTCTTCAGCTCAAGGCGAGCGCCCTCTACTTAAGCCACAGTGCCACTTCCGGCTTTTTTTTTCTTGCTTATGTGGTGCTGAGGAATCGAACCCAGGGCCTCATGCATGAGATGCAAGCACTCTACCACTGAGCCACCTTCCCAACCCCTACCTTTTTTTTAAAATATATAATTGTCTTCTTGACTACATTCCCTTTCAACTATTTATTAGGGATGCTGTGCAAGATTTTCTTCATGAAATATACTTTTTACCTGATCATCCTGAATTACAGAAGATAAAAGCAGTTCTCCAGGAATACAGAAAGGTATTACATTTTTTATTTAAGGTTTAGAAGATCTTAGGTCTAGAATTTTCTGATTCCTAATACATTGAATAAAGATCCTTTAGAATTATATCCAGGATTCACATAATCCTTCTTATGGCAAGTTTCTGGTGACTAGATAATGCTATAAGAATCCATGTCTTGAGAGGAAAACTTGATTATCTGATGAAATATATATTAGCATTAGAGCTTTTACTACCCACCTCAGCAAATTGTACTTAAGAGTTCTCCGAAGTAGAAACTACTCAAGCTATATGCCCTGAAAGAAGAAAGATTCTAGTTTTGTGCCACAAATCATGGGGTCATACATGTCTGCTCTAAATGTTTCTGAGTTTTAGAAGGAAAATAATACATAGCTCAGACATCTTGAAATCTAGTGAGTGCTATGAAATTAGGAAAATACCAATGGTGGTTTCTGGGCATCAAATGAGATATATTAAGGAGTAAAAGAAAAGACTGTAATTATTTACATAGTTCATAGATCTGGTTCAAGTCCTCTGTTAAGGAGAAGCTTCTATTTCTTATGAGGAAGCATTTGTTTTATATAAGTAAATTTTTATTTAGTTGGAATAAAATCTTTGTGTGTGTGTGTGTGTGTGTGTGTGTGTGTATGTGTGTGTGCAGGTACTGGGGCTTGAACTCAGGCACTGGACACTATCCCTTAGCTTTTTTAGCACAAGGCTGGTGTTTACACTCAAGCCACAGCTCCACTTCTGGCTTTTTGGTAATTAATTAGAGAATAAGAATCTCATATGCTTTCATGCCCAGGCTGGCTTTGAATTGTGATCCTCAGATCTGTCTCCTGAGCAGCTAGGATTATAAGCATGGGCCACTAGTACCCAATTTAAAATCTTTCTTGAAGTAGAAATATTCTAGAACAGAATTGTTTTCCCTGAAAATTATAATGGCATATACTTTGGAAGAGATGGAACTGTTACTTTTTTTTTAATGTAATTTTATTAAAGGAGAAAGTGCTCACTACTTAGGCCTTGAGATGTGAGTAGGAAAATGGATAAGGCATGTCTTTCTGTGCTTATTCTGCAGGAGACCTCTGAGAGTACTGATCTTCAAACATCACTCCAGCTGTCCATGAAAGCAGTTCAACACGAAAATGTAGATGTTCGCATTCACGCTCTTACAAGCTTGAAAGAAACCTTGTATAAGAATCAGGTATGCTGGGCAGGGAATGTGGCTCAGTGGTAGAGTGCTTGCCTAGCATGCATGAAGCCCTGGGTTCCATTCCTCAATACTGCATAAACAAAAAAGCCAGAAGTGGCACTGTGGCTCAAATTGTAAAGTGTTAGCCTTGCGCAAAAGAAGGTCAGGGACAGTGCCCAGGCCCTGAATTCAAGCCCCAGGACTGGGGAAAAAAATCAGGAATGCTATGATAACATAACTAAAAGCAAAGGAAGGGTGAAGGGTTCAAGAAAAGTGACAGGCATTTTTGTTTGAGACTCAACATATTCAATAAAAGGAGTAATCTTTGTTTTACCTAGATTATCAGATCTGACCAAAAATTAGTAATCTATGAATTGCCTTTTAGCCTGAACCCCAGAGATTTGCATGATTTTTGTTGTTTTGAAAGGTTATGATTTTGTGGTTATTTTTCAGGTCACTGCATTTTCCTAAATAGAGATTTATATGTTTGTATATCAGCAGTTTATCTCTCTCATATAAAACATCAACAATTTTGCCATTTCTCATGTAGAACAAACTTTTAGTTTTAATGGAATTGAATCTTTTTTTTTTTTTTTTTTTTGGTCTGTTTTGGGGCTTGAACTTAGGGCCTGGATACTGTCCCTGAGCCACAGTGCTATTTCTAGTTTTTGAGTGGTTAATTGGAGATAAGAGTTTTAGAGGGACTTTTCTGCCCAGACTGGCTTTGGACCATGATCCTCAGATTCCAGCCTGCTGAGTAGCTAGGATTACAGGTGCGACCAACCGATGCCTGGCTTGGAGTTGAATTTTTAAATTATTCTCTCAAAGGACCAGTGAAATTTATAATTCTTCTTGGCAATATAGATAATCCTTATCTTTCTGGTGTGAAAATTTGTATTTAAAATATTCTTTTTTTAATTTTTATTGTGAAAATACTGTACAGAGGGGTTACAATTACATGGGCATGTATTTAAAATATTCTATCACAGCTAGGTGCTGGTGGCTCACACCTGTCATCCTACCTTCTCAGGAGGCTGAGATCTGAGGATCAAGGTTCAAAGCCAGTCTGGGCAGGAAAGTTTGTGAGACTCTTATCTCTAATTAACCACCAGAGAATTGGAAGTGGCACTGTGGCTCAAGTGGTAGACCACTTACTTTGAGCTGAAGAGCTCAGGGACAGCATCCATACACAGAGTTTAAGCCCTACGACCAACAAAAAAATAAATTAAAAATAATTAAAATATTCAATCACCATAAATCTAGTTAGTTCTTTCTCATCTTTATTGCTTCTTTGCTATGTCAATGCATGTTATTATACTTATCATATGTTATTTTAATTATTTGTTTATACGTGTGCTATCCCGCTGCCTAAACTCACGAAACTCAGACTCATTTTTATATACTGATGTAATATTAACTGTTTAGCAGAACTTACTGTAAGCTATCTTGTGTAAATGAATCAAAAGCTAATGGAAAAGATTGCAGATAGAGGAAATTCGGTCACTATTCCTTAATATTTTTAAGCTTTCTTCTTTAGAAAAATGTATTCGTTTGTACTGGTTACATATTAATTTTCTTCCTATTTATATTTTAGGAAAAACTGATCAAATATGCGACTAATAGTGAAACAGTCGAGCCTGTTATCTCCCAGCTGGTGACTGTGCTTTTGAAAGGTTGTCAGGATGCAAACTCTCAAGCTCGCTTGCTCTGTGGTGAATGTCTAGGGGAATTGGGGGCAATAGATCCAGGTCGATTAGATTTTTCAACAACTGAAACCCAAGGAAAAGATTTTACATTTGTGGTAAGTATGGTCATTTGGGATGACAAGAAGGTTTCTCAGTCCACAGAGATTTATATATTCCACTTATAAAGAACTATTCAAGAGCTGGAGGTGGTGGTGCATGCCAATAGTCCTAGCCAGTTCAGAGGTGGAAATAGGAGGCATGCTGTCCTGGTCCCAGCTGAAAAACAAGTTAAGTTCAAGTAGACTGGCTCCAGTGGGAAAATGCTTGACTAACAGTTACGAGTTCAGTCTCTAGTACTAGGATGAAAAATAATTATTATTCAACTTATTTTTAGTGACTACTTGATCTAAGTCAGAAAGTTTAGGTAACTTCTCAGTTTATTTTTTCGTACTCTTATGGACTCCTTTAGCCAAAAGCAGTAAAGGTTGAGCCCAATCTAGGGTACTGTATCATTGCAAATAAGCTTTCTAATCTTTTTTGGGGGGTGGGAGTGGGAGGGGATGCTAGTATTGAAACATGAGCTCTGGGCTTTGTGCTCTTGCTCAACTTTGTCTTTCCACTAAAGGCTGGCACTCTACTACATGAACCACCACTTTTAGCTTTTTGCTGATAAATTATAGGTAAGAGTCTCAAGGATTTGTCTTTCCAGGCTGGCTTTGCACCACAATTCTCAGCTCACAGCCAGTATTTTAGGCATGAGCCACTGGCACCTGGCATAATCTAATAAGATAATATCCAAAGCCTAATTAATAATCTAAACAAAACTGTTGAAAAACTACTGCTAATGTTTCCATGGGAAACTGGATTTTCAGGGTATTATGAGTATTAAAAAGGTTTTATGGTCAAGTAACTTTGAGAATTCCATGTAAAGTGAAATTAAATAAGATTTTTCTTTTTTCTTTTTTTTTTTTTTTCTGCTATGATCAAACCAAGGCCCTGAAATGCAGGACCTTTCTTACCCATGCTAAGCAAGTGCTGTACCACCTTGCTACTTCCTTACCCCTTCCAGTAGAACTTTAGTCAGTATACATTTTCAGTCTCCAAGTGGAGGGTATGTTGGAATCATTCATCTCTCATGTGACTCTTGGTCTCCAGAAAATGCATGCATGTATACAACTTGTTCTTTTACAGTTACAAAGCAAACAGTGCCTATTGTCCTCACTACTCAAAAGGTTGAGCAGCTTTACTATACTTTAAAAAGAGCCTTTGAAGATTTTGATTTTGGCTGCTAGGCAGTGGGTTATCTTTTAACCATTATCCACTTAGTTTCAGCCTCACCCCTTTCCTTTCCTTTTTCTGGGTTCAATTCACTATGCAAACATAGTGTCCCTTAAAAACTTTGCCAGGTGCTGGTGATTCACACTGGTGATTCATCCTTGCTGCTCGGAGGCTGAGATCTGAGGATCATGGTTCAAAGTGAGCCCAGGCAAGAAAGTCTGAAAGACTCTTACCTAGCCTTGAGCAAAAAAGCTCAGGGATAGTTTGAAGGCCCTGAACTCAAGCTCCAGAACTGGCATGCGCATGTACACGCACACGCACACACCACCACCACCACCACTACCACCAACAACAACAAAATATATATGCCAATTATCATTGAACTTTTTTCTTATTTTCATTAAGACTGGAGTAGAAGATTTAAACTTTGCCTATGGATTATTGATGGAACTGACAAGAGCTTACCTTGCATATGCAGATAACAGCCGAGTTCAAGATTCAGCAGCTTATGCTATTCAGGTAAGGGTGCTTAGATGTAGTAGAACTCTGGAAGAAAGTGGTAAGTTCTGTACTTGTGAAATACTTCAAAGTTATTCAAATTCATGTTAAAAATTTTAAGGAGTACATATTATTATTTTGTTTTTGGTATTTTGGTCAGTCATGGGGCTTGAACTTAGACCCTGGGCACTGTCCCTGAGCTTTTGTGTTCAAGGCTAGTAGTACTCTACCACTTTGAGCCACAGCTCCACTTCTGCTTTTCTAGTTCATTGGAGGTAACTCTCATAGACTTTCCTATTCAGGCTGACTTTGGCCCGTGATCCTTAGCTCTCAGCCTCCTGAATAGCTAAGATTACAGGCATGAGCCACTGGCACCTGGCATTATTATATTATTATAATTACTTTAAAATGATCTTTTGTTTGGTGTGCCAGTACCGTGACCTAGATACCATCATTCGTTTTTTTCACTGTTGGCTGGTACTTTGGCTTTTTGAGGGTTAACTGAAGAGTCTCAAAGACTCCTTCCTGGGCTGTCCTAGAATTGCTAACCTCAGATCGTAGCCTCCTAACTAGCTAGGATTACTGGCCACTGGCACCCAGCACCGAATTATTCATAATCTTATATTTGAATATATATTATGTATAAGCTGATGTCACATTCAAATACTTTGTAAGCCCCAAGTAAGTTAGTCTAAAGATTTAAGGCATTGAAACAAGGTCCTAAAGAAGCTCAAAGCCTTTTGAAGTTTTTAAATTGTTTCTTTTTCTGTGTATTTTCATAACTATAATACATAGAGTGTTGATTGATGTAAAATGTTATCAGCCTCACTAACAAATGTAAAATGTGTGTTTGTAGGAACTACTTTCTATTTATGACTGCAGAGAGATGCAGAACCACAGCCGAGGCAACCAATTATGGAAGATGTTTCCTGAGCATGTTCGGGAAATACTAGAACCTCATCTCAATACCCGGTATGGATCTCATTTTCAACTGTTCACAAAAGGGTCTTTAGCTTTCTTTTTTTTTTTTTTTTGGTCGGTCATGGGGCTTGAACTCTGGGCCTGGGCGCTGTCCCTTAGCTCTTCAGCTCAAGGATAGCGCTCTACTACTTGAGCTACAGAACCACTTCCAGTTTTCTGGTGGTTTATTGGAGATAAGAGTTTCATGGACTTTCCTGCTCCAGCTGGCTTTGAACCGAGATCCTCAGATCTCAGCCTCCTGAGTAGCTAGGATGACAGGCGTGAGCCACCAGCACCCGATGATTTTCTTTTTTTTAAAGTTGCCAATGGCTCATAACATAATTCTAACTATTCAGAAGGCTATGATCCAAGCCAGCCTGGACAGGAAAGCCCATGAGACTCTAACCTCTAATTAACCACCAAAAAGCCAGAAGTAGAGCTGTGACCCAAGTGGAAGAGAACTAGCCTTGGGGGAAAAGCTAGGTCCTAAGTTCAAGCCCCACTACCAGCATTAAGGGAAAAAGAGAACATGGAAAAATGTTGTCTAGAATTAGGTTGCAATAAATGCAATACTAGGGTACAATGAAGAAATTAATACAATTTCTTCTGCTTTCTTTACAGATTTTTAAATGGAACCATATATATGTACTACTTAATAAACAAATTTTCAAAATTACAGGTATAAGAGTTCTCAGAAGTCAACAGATTGGTCTGAAGTAAAGAAGCCAATTTACTTAAGTAAATTAGGTAATAACTTTGCAGACTGGTCGGCGTCTTGGGCAGGTTATCTTATCACAAAGGTAAGAGACACCTCTTCAGAATGTGTTAACCGAACAGAAACTTGAAAGGAAACAAGAGCATCTATCTGAATGCATAGGAATTAAAATATTTCTACCAATTAACCAGATGCTGGTGGCTCACTCCTGTAATGCTAGCTACTCAGGAGGCTGAGATTTGAGTATCATGGTTTGAAGCCAACCCAGGTGGGAAAGTGTGAGACTCTCATCTCCAATTAACCACCAAAAAGCTTTTCAGAAGTGGAGCTTTGGCTCAAGTGGTTGAGTACTAGGCTTGAGGGATAAGCTAAAGGACATCAGCCAGGTCCTGACTTCAAGCCTGAGTACAGGCACACACACACACAAAAATTCAGCTGGTAATGGCAGAGATTGGAAGTAAATGTTTACCAGTGGAGAAAAATAGTTTGTTGTTACTAATGATAGTAAACTTCTAGGTGGAAAGAGAATTATTTATCATGTAAATTATCATAGAATTAATTAATTGTAAAAGGTCTAGTACAGTATGTCTGTACATTTACATTGGAAATAATACTGTTTAAAAGTATGTGGATGCTATGTCAGAGACTATTTCTTAATATAAAGTTATTAGGCAATAATAGAGGATGTCCTTTAACCATACTTTTGAAAGAGAATTTCATGGTAAAATAAAGGTATATTTCTGATGTTTTTCTTCTTTTTTAAAAATAGTGTACGGAGAGGTTACAATTACATGGGCAAGCATTGTAACCTCCTCCTTTGTTTCCCCTTCCCATCCCTTCCCATCCTCCCCCCTACCCCCCACCCAATCCTCCTCCCCCCTACCCCCCCACCAAAGTTGTAAAGTTCGTTTTCAATATAACGACTTGTACGTCTCATTGTTGTAATGGGTCCACCTGTATTCCTATTTAAACGATTTGTTTTTTCCCTTGTGATGTTTTTCTAAAGCAAAATTAAGCGTACTTGTCTGTGTTCTCAGAAAATGTTTCAGGCACATTCACAATGTTTTTTCTGGGTTTTTTTTTGTTTTTGTTTTTAAATTGGTCATGGGGCTTGAACTCTCAGGGCTTGGGTACTATCCCTGAGCCCTTTTGCTCAAAGCTAGTGCTCTACCACTTTGAGCCACAGTGCCACTTCCAGTTTTCTGGTGGTTAACTGGAGACAAGAGTCTCATAGACTTTTCTGCCCAGGCTGGCTTTGAATCATGATCCTCAGATCTCAGCCTCCTGAGTAACTGGGATTACAGGTGTGAGCCACCAGCACCCAGCACAACTTTTGTGTCAAATTCTGTTCATTAGTGTTGTGCAATACCATTATATGAAGTATAAATGGCACTTTGAAGGTATTTTCTGTCTTTTTTAAATCAACACACTAAAAATGAACACACAGAATTATTATAACAATGTAGAATATTATTTAATACCAGCTTAACAAAAACTTAGTTTTATAAACTTAACAAACTCATTTAATGTTTTTTTGTTTTAAGTTAATGTTTTATATTGGAAGGAAAAAAAAAAAACCTTTAATTTTTTTTTAAGAATTGAGTAGTGTTGAACTGAAAGTTAGATAGGTCAAACAATAAAATTTAACTTTAAAGTGATACAAATTATATGTGTATTTAAGGTATACAACATTTTTGAAGTATTTATTATTTAAAATGCAGATCTCATACTTTGTATACTATCCCAGAGCACAGTTTTTAGTCACTTCAAAACTAAAAACTGAATTTAATGTTGCATAAGTAAAATATGTTAGAATTAGGAAAGTTCGTCTACTTCATTGATGCATTGTAGACGGAGTGTAAAGCAAGTGAGACCATTTGCACTGGTGGTAGGTAGCTTAGGCAGCTCTAGGGGTTGCCTGTAAGAGCCTCAGCAGTTCAAGAATTTGGAGATAGCAATGTGCTAATATTCAATCAATCAAATAAGTGTGTGAAACCATTTATTCTTCCTAAACCATTTGCGTTTACAGGTTCGGCATGAACTTGCCAGTAAAATCTTCACGTGCTGTAGCATAATGATGAAGCACGACTTCAAAGTGACCATCTACCTTCTGCCTCACATCCTCGTGTATGTCCTATTGGGCTGTGATCAAGAAGACCAACAAGAGGTGCGAGTTCACAGTTGGTTTGGTTTCTGAACACCTGGCACTTGGCTTTAAACTTGTCAATTAACTTGACTATTATTTTGGTTTAATATAGGAAAAGGGAAATATTCTACTTGTCATTTATAATGTTATTAGAGTTGGATTTTTAAACTACATACATTTAACACAGTTAATTTTTTTTGTACTTACACTGGACTTAACACAGAGCCTGAGCTATTTTGCTCAAGGCTAGTGCTCTGCCACTTGAGTCAAAGCTCCACTTCCAACTTTTCTTTCGGTAGTTAATTGGAAATAAGAGTCTCATGGACTTTTCTGCCTGGCCTGACTTTGAACCATGATCCACAGATCTCAGCCTCCTGAGTATCATGAGCCACCAGAGCCCATTTTACACTGTCCTTTTTTTCTTTTTTTTTTTTTTTTCAGTTGTGGGGCTTAAACTTGGGGCCTGGGCACTATCTGTGTCTGAGCTCTTCAGCTCAAGACTAGCTCTCTGTCACTTTGAGCCACAGTTCCTCCCTGGGCTGGCTTTGAACCAGCACCCCCAGATTTCAGCATCCTGCGATTACAGGTGTGACACACCAGCACCCAGCCACTCTCCTTAATGACCTAGGAACAGATTGTAGTATACTTTAATTAAAAACACAAATTATACAAGTAAGTCAAACTAGACCTTTTGCTTAAATTTCTGCTCTTATATCCTGGCCACCACTTAGATCAAATTCACCCCGTCTGTGTGTCTTGATCACCTTTGATTGTTGGGGTTTTGTTTATGTTTTTATTTTTCTCATTTCATAGGATGCTTTTGAAAGTACTGTTCCACAACTTGCTTATTTTATTTTTTTAAGTTACCAATATATAGAGAGCCATCCTTTTAAAAAATACTGCATAACATAATCCTTTTGTTGTCATAGTAGCATTATAGATGCATTCCTATGTGTCCTTTTAGCTTATTGGTAGAAAGTCTCTGTATATTTTGGATAACAGTTTTGCTGCCTGTCGTATTTTGAAAAACCTCACCCAATTACTAGGGTTTTTTTTAAAACTTGTTTTTGTATTTTACTGTGCAGAACTTTTAAGTGTACATGCCAATTGTATGCATCATTTATACATTTTGAAATATAAGCCTTTTATGTGATGCCTTTTACTCAATATAGTGACATGTATACATTCTGTACTGTCACAGATGTTAAGCATTTGTCTTTTTTTTTTTTTTTCTGGTTGTGAGGCCTGAACTCTGGGCCTAGGCACTGTCCCTCAGCTCTTCATCTCAAGACTAGCACTCTACCACTTGAGCCACAGCACCACTTCTGGTTTTTTCTGTTTATGTGGCACTAAGGAATGGAACCCACGGCCTTCTGCGTGCAAGGCAAGCACTCTACCACTGAGCCACCTTTCCAGCTCTCATTTGTCATTTCTTTATGTTGCTGTTGGTCGTGGGGTTTAAACTCTGGGCCTGGGCACTGTCCCTCAGCTCTTCAGCTCAGGGCAAGTGCTCTACCGCTTGAGCCACAGCACCACTTCTGATTTCCTGGTGGTTTATTGGAAATAAGAGTCTCATGCACTTTGCTGCCTAGGCTGGCTTTGAACCAAGATCCTCAGATCTCAGTCTCCTGAGTAGCTAGGATTACAGGCATGAGCCACCAGCGCCCGGCATTAAAAACCTTTAATTCCAGATTTTATTTTTTGTTTTGTTGTTGTTGTTTTTTGTTCAGTCATGGGGCCTGAACTCTGGGCCTGGGCACTGTCCCTCAGCTCTTCAGCTCAAGGCTAGCGCTCTACCACTTGAGCCACAGCGCCACTTCTGGTTTTTTCTTTTTTGCTTATGTGGTGCTGAGGAATCGAACCCACGGCCTCATACACACTCTACCACTGAGCCACCTTCCCAGCCCGATATTTTATTTTTTAAATACACATTAAATTATCATTATCTGTAAAATTATCTTTAAAAAAAATTTACTATTATTATAAAGGCGATATACTGAGGTACAGTTACAACAGGGTAACAAGTACATTTTTGGACAGTGTTCTTTTTTCCCTCACTGTCTCCCAGACAGTAGTCCTTTAATTACTCTGAAATTAATTTTATAGTTGGTGTGGGAAAATTATTCTAAGGTTTGTTGTTTTTTTTTTAACTACTAATAGACTTCCTGTCATAGTTTGAATAATAGAAAAAGTTTTAATATTTTTACCTTCATTCAGTTTAGTTTTTCTCATTCAGTTGGTTTAATTAGATAGGAAAGATTATTAATCGGTCATCTTTTGTTCTGTGAAAATCATCGCCATACATGGTTATTCTTTATAATAATAATAAAATATTACATGGCCATCACTAAGCATAAAACAAATTCTCTTAGGTCTATGCAGAAATCATGGCAGTTTTGAAGCATGATGATCAGCAGAGTGCCAGTGCCCAAGACCATGCATCCGACCTATGTCAGCTGAGCATACAGACCGTGTTCTCCATGCTGGACCACCTCGCCCAGTGGGCCAGGCACAGGTTTCAGGAAATGAACGCTGAGGATGCTCCACAGAGCAAATCGAGCAAAGAGAAGGCCAAACCAGTGGGTGAGTTCAGACTGTGATTTTCTTCTTTCAGTTACTCCCATTGGCTCTTTCTAGCCAGTTCTGCAGTTTAAGCATCAGCTTTTAAAAAGACTTGTTTTTGTGCATTTCTCAAATGGGTAAGAAGGTGTTGTTTTCATTGAGAAGAAGTAGTGAATGCTTCTTCTAATGCTAAGACTGCTTCTTAGGACTGGGAGTGAAGTTCAGCTCAGTGGTAGAGCACTTGCCTAGCATTCACAAAGCCCAGGCTTTGATCTACAGTGCTGCTTGGGGTGGGGGAAAGGACCTCCGTAACTTCTGCTTCTCAATTCCTTGGACAAGAAACATCTAATTTTTCTAAGATTGTCTCTCTTAGTAGATTGTTAGGGCTAGATGAGGTTTAATGTATAATACATGCATTTACATTTATGTAATTATAAAGAATACTGATATTTTTATTAGTCTAGCCTTCACCATTAAGTAATTTACTCCTTTTCATACATACTGTTTACATATGTGTATATCTTTTTCACATTTCAGTTTTAAGCTTGAAAGGAGATTTTCATTTCATTTATTTCATGACCCTAAGAATTTATACTAATTAATAATCAGGAAAGAGGTTTTACCTGAAAAATTCTTATCATATACCTGTTAAACACAGTAATTTTTTATTTTTCTAAAATTTTGTGTACTTGCAAATAATTTTGTATTGGGGAAAACTGCTTCTCCCTGGAATGTGGCTGTTACTGTATTTTCCGTTAATATTAGTTCCTATTTCTGAATGTGACAATGGTACTAGAAAATGAAGTACTAACTCTTATCACCATTTTTGCTAATATTGCAAATAAATTTCTATCTTTTAAGAATAATACGTAGTACAATTTCAGGTGGGGAGGGAGGAGTTGAGGAGGTAGGGAGGGAACGGATGGTAGGGGAAAACGAAGGAGGAGGTAACAATGCTCAAGAGGAAACGTACTCATTACCTTACTCATATAACTGTAACCCCTCTGTACAGTATTTTTACAATAAAAAATACATATATGAAAAAAAAATACTTGGGCCGGTGCCAGTGGCTCACACCTGTAATCCTAGCTACTCAGGAGGCTGAGATCTGAGGATTACGGTTCAAAACCAGCCCAGGCAGAAAAGTCCATAAGACTCTTATCTACAATTAACTACCAGAAGACTGGAAGTGGCACCGTGGCTTAAGTGGTACAGCATTTGCCCTGAGCTGAAGAGCTGAGGGACAGCGCCCAGGCCCAGAGTTCAAGCCTCACAACCAACCAAAAAAAAAAAAAAAAAAAGAAAGAATAATGCTTGGGGACTGAGAATGTGGCTCAGTGGTAGAGTGCTTGCCTACCATTTATGAAGCCCTGGGTTTGATTCCTCAGTACCACATACACAGAAAAAGCTGGAAGTGGTGCTGTGGCTCAAGTGGTAGAGTGATAGCCTTGAGTAAAAGAAGGTCAGGGTAGTGCCTAGACCTTGAGTTCAAGCTCCAGGACTGGCAAAAAAAAAAAAAAAGAATAACATTTGTGAGGAAGAAGTATACCATGTTCCTAGCATGTGCCAAGTCCTTAGTTCAAGTCCTAGTACTACACAGAAACAAAAGAAGTGTAAACTCTGTAAAATAGAAAAGAAGGCTACTTCATTAATTTTGTACTTCAAGTGGCATTCTTTCAGTATTTTACAGTCATAAATAATAACTAGTTTTGTATCTTTCGTATCCTTTTTTTGTCTTTTTAACATTTAAGAATAGTTTACATCTGAAACTATCCTTTTCAAACATAGGTAAGGGAGGTCTGACAGGGACTGACATGTTTCTTTTATAAATGAGAAGGAAAGACTCCAGAGATCAAGTAACCATGCAAAGTAAAGTAAGTACTAGTGGTACAATTGGAGCAAAACCTCTGAGCAGTCATTCCTCCTGGTAGTTGTTTTGTTTTTGTTTTTAATTATCTCTCAATAGTTGTACAAAGGAGTTTCAGTTCAGCATGGCGGTTTAGCAGTACGTTGATCAAGGCCATCACGTCCATTGTTTGCCCTCAATTCCTGTTGGTAGTAAACATCTTAAATATTATGCCCTAATCTGGATTCATTTATTTAACTAAATGAATTGGAGTTACATACTTAAACTGATGCTTTCAAATTTTCTGCAGTCTGATTACTGTCTTGTTTTGCTTTTACAATGCAGTATCAAGCCCACAAGAGGGTGGCTATCAGAGCGTGACTCGTTTTCTGGACCTCATTCCTCAGGATACTCTGGCAGTAGCTTCCTTTCGCTCCAAAGCATACACACGAGCTGTAATGCACTTTGAATCATTCATTACAGAAAAAAAGCAAAATATTCGGGAGCATCTTGGATTTTTACAGGTTTGAAATTACACTGAATTTAGTGATGAGAATTCACACTGGCAGTCTTAACAGTGATGTTCATTTTGTGGCGTGTATGGATGCATTAGATGCCTGTGGTGGTTTGGTATAATGTCTTAGGTAAAGTGATATAGATTTTCTGTAGAGAAGCACACACCTCTTCCTCTAGAGTCAGGAGAGAGGAGTAGGGAAATTAAGGTTCAAGAATAGCTTCTTTGAAGCCGGGTGCCTGTGGCTTATGCCTGTAATCCTAGCTACTCAGGAGGCTGAGATCTGAGGATTGCAGTTCAAAGCCAGCCTGGGCAAGAAACTTCGTGAGACTCTTATATCTAATAAACAACTAGAAAACCAGAAGTGGTACTGTGGCTCAAGCGGTAGAGCACTCGCCTTGAGCTGAAGAGCACACAGATAGTACCTAAGCCCAGAGTTCAAGCCCCACGACTGACAAAAAAAAAAAAAAGAATAGCTTCTTGGAGATAATGTCCTAAAAATGAGTGCTAGTTGGACTGGGCTGAAGCAATAGAGCACTTGCTTAGCAAGTATGAATCCCTGAGTTCAAACCCCAGTACGTCAAAAGAAACTGATAGCAGTATCATTCATCCATTCCTTCCCCTCCATTCATTTGTTCCTTCCTCCTTTCCAACTTTCTTTCTCTTTTTCTTTTTTTCTTTTTCTTTTTCTTTTGCACTACAGGGATTTGAACTCAGTGCCTCATGCTTATTAGGCAGGTACTTTATCACTTGAGCTATGCCTCCCCTGCTTTCTTCATTAGTATTTTTTAGATAGAGTCTTGTACTTATTTGACGGAGCTGGCCTTGGACTGTGATCCTCTTAACAATGTCTTCTGTGTAGTTGATTTTACAACCATGGGCCACCATAGCTGACCTAACTGTTGATGTCTTAGATTTGCTGAAAGTATCTCAATACCAATATATTAAAATGTTTATATATGTCATTCTGATGTCTCTTTCTGAGATGACCCACTTTTCCCTGGTGAAAGTATCTTTCTATACTAATAAACTTTGCGAGGCTCAATAAACTATATTTTTGCTACTGTCAGAAAATTAGAAAATAAAATGAAAACTTATTGAAAAATTCAAAATTTGGCTGGGCACAAGTGGCTCATACTTGTAGTATTAGCTGTGGAGGAGGCTGAGATCAGAAGGTCATGGTATAAAGCCAGCCCAAGCAGGAAAGTTCGTGAGACTCTTATCTCCAATGAACCACCAGAAAACTGGAAGTAGCACTGTGGCTCAAAGTGGTAGAGCACTCACCTTGAGCAAAAAGAACTCAACGACAGTGTCTAGGCCCTGAGTTTAAGCCCTACAACCAAAAAAAAAAAAAAGTGTGGATTCTATTCAACAGAATTTGTTATCAGTTGAATTCAAAGGAAGTTTCAGAGCCTTGGAGTTCTTTGCAACCCTCATGATTAATAGTAGTTACTAATATAGATTTGTGGAATAATAGTGTTGAAATAGTAGAATTTCCAGAAATAGCTAAAAACTATTGTGCATCTGCCTTGAAATAAATTCTTAGTAGTACTTTGAAAAAGTTTCTCATATACTCTTTGTATGCAGTCTGGTGGTCATAGCCTTATTGGTTTCCTCTCTTTTGGTTCTTTTACAATGGTTGAAAAAGAAATTGTACGCTGCTATGCATGAAGCAGATGGAGTGGCCGGCGTGAGTGCGATTCGAAAGGCAGAGCCATCTTTGAAAGAACAGATCCTTGAACATGAAAGCACCGGCTTGCTGAGGGATGCCACGGCTTGCTATGACCGAGCTATTCAGCTAGAACCAGATCAGGTAAGATAAGTTAACAGAGCACACATAGGAATTCAGCAAACCTGGGCTTTGGTGCTGCTTCTACCAGGGTTGGCGTGTGCTTGCAAAAGTTTGATTTCCTGACTAATAGATACTATTAGAGACTTGTTCTAGCCAATCTCAAAAATCATTTCTATGTCCTTAGAAATCCCTCAGATCACTGCAAAAATTATTATGGAATATATGTACATTAAAATATACATGTAAGCCAGGTACTGGTGGCTCACGCCTGTCATCCTAGCTATCCAGGAGGCTGAGATCTGAGGATCACACAAAGCTAGCCAACGCAGGAAGGTTCATGAGACTCTTATCTCCAGTTTACCACCAGTAAATTGGAGCTGTGGCTCAAAGTGATGGAGTGCTAGCTTTGAGTGAAGATAAGAGATAGTACTCAATCCTGGGCCCCAGCCTCAGTACTGTTAAAACAATTATTATAGTTATAAAAAATAAATGAATACATAAATATATGTATAAACAGCTAAACAGCACGCATACACACACACACACAGTTCTTGTCCACTGCAGACCTCAGAAATAGTCCATTGGAATTTGAGCTCATTGGATCACCTGTTTACTGGGACAGGAAAGGGGTTCAAAATCATGGATTTATAACTTAGACTTTAATTTTTTCTCACCTTGAGGTTTTGCTTTTGTCATATTTGACATGTTATTTTCTCAGAAGTTCAATACACAAGGTCCTTATTTTTCACAATCTTCAGTTTTAAAGACTATTATGTATTCGTATGTAACTTTTTAGTTATAAATCCCCAAATCTATATTAATAGACATATACATAACCTTTCAATTTTAACTCCTACATGAGAAATAGAACAAACAAATGTTAAAGGTGTTGGGTACTTTTGCATTCCATAAGTTCAATCAGGTTTTTTTTTAGGTTATCTGGATTTTTTTTTCTGTTACTTTGAAATGTACACAGGATAGTGGGTTTTGTTATCAGCCAAGCAAGTCAGTTACTAAACTAAGGAAAGTAGGCACTGAGGCAAATAGTGTTTTTAATAAATGTCATTTGAACTGTTCTGGGATCCCTAAGTAAGTGTGAAGTGAGACGCAAGATCTTACCTCTTTTTACCTTTGCAGATCATTCACTACCATGGGGTGGTGAAGTCCATGCTGGGTCTTGGTCAGCTTTCTTCTGTAATCACTCAAGTAAATGGAGTACACGCCAGCAGGTATGGTTCATAAGAGAGTGATTTCTTCCCACTATTCTGTCGAAACGGGAACCTTCTGATTTGTGACTTAGGGAGCTTAATATTTACTCAAGTAATTAAATGTCTTATGTATTTTCATGGCGATGAGCATAAGAACAAAATATTGATAGGCAGTCTCAGAAGGAAGTGTATCTGCCCTTGCAACTGTTTTCCTCTTGTAACCAGAAACCTTATTCTTTAATGTACGCCAGCCCCCAACCGGCTGCAGTGGACAGGGAGCTTTGGTCAACCAAGAATGGGATCTTAGAACACACAGGCCACTCGGAGGTAGTAGTTGTTGTGATTGTTAGGGGTTCTTGTTTGTTTTTGTTTTTAAGAAAAGAATAATTCATTAGGCAAAAAAAAAAAAAAAAATACCCACCCTCAGGTGTGAGGCAGGTGGAAGGACAGGGATTTTGTCACGCTCAACGTGGGGTTGTCATGTTTCCTTATGATAACACTGAACAAATAGGCTCTCCCTGTCTTCCCTTTGGGTCTGGGACACACACATCCCAGTGTTTGCTGTGTTCAATGAAAGAGAACTGTGCCATAGAAAATCAAGATTTTCTATGGGGACTGGGAAGGTGGTTCAGTGGTAGAGCGCTTGCCTTGCATGCATGAGGCCCTGGGTTTGACTCCTCAGCACCACATAAGCAGAAAAAGCCAGAAGTGGTGCAGTGGCTCAAGTGGTAGAGTGCTAGCCTTGAGCAGAAGAGCTGAGGGACAGTGCCCAGGCCCTGAGTTCAAGCCCCAGGACTGACCAAAAAAAAAAAAGAAGAAAGGAAATCAAAATGACTGCTGAAGAAGCATCTTTTTTTCTTGCACTTTTTTCTTTCTTTATATCTTAAAGGCAGCTCACAGCTGCCTTTGACACATATACCCAATTCCGAAATTATTAGCATTACTTTTCTCTCAATTTGTGTGTTCACTGGCTCTGTTGCTTTTTTTTTTTTCTTTTTTTTCTTTTTTTTTTGATTTTTTGTTTTTTGGGGGGTCCGGTCATGGGGCCTGAACTCTGGGCCTGGGTGCTGTCCCTCAGCTCTTCAGCTCAAGGCTAGCACTCTACCACTTGAGCCACAGCGCCACTTCCGGCTTTTTTCTTTTTGCTTATGTGGTGCTGAGGAATCGAACCCAGGGCCTCCTGCATGCAAGGCAAGTGCTCTACCACTGAGCCACCTTCCCAGCCCTGGCTGTTTCTTCAGGTTCTTAAAGTGAAGCAGATCATTTTATAACAGTCTGTGATAGAATAAGTTCTCTTTCAATATGTGGCACAGTTTAATTTGTCAAGGAATCTCATTCTTAAATGGCTCTATCAGATATAGTTAATGTGATAAATCATGAGACTCTCCCTCAAAAAAGCCCAAATAATGAAAACTTTCATCATCATAACAATGGAATGAAAAGATTCCATTTTTCTGGGTGTTGCTGGATAGAGATAATTATTTTATAAATGAATACAAAATTCAGCATAATACCAATGTAATAAGTAACTACAGCAAATAGAATCTCTAAACCTATGAAATATTTCTAAGTGCTTCTTTAAGTAAACTAGAATTGAATTGAGTTTGTTGTACTAGGTCTGAATGGATTGAGGAATTAAACACGTACAGGGTGGAAGCAGCGTGGAAGCTGTCACAGTGGGACTTGGTGGAGAACTATCTTGCGGCAGGTAAACAGATTGCTGAAGTAGAAGCAGTTTTAATTTGCTATTAATATTGATTCTATTTTATGAACTCCTGTTGGGGCTTTTGATGTAAAAACAATTACCTGGGCACTGGTGGCTGGCGCCTGTAATCTTAGCAACTCAGGAGACTGAAAGCTGAGAATTACCGTTTGAAGCCAGCTCAGGCAGGAAAGTCCATGAAACTCTCGTCTCCAATTAACTAACAAAAAGCTGGAAGTGGAGCTGTGGCTTAAGTGGTAGAGCACTAGCCTTGAGCAAAAAGACTTCAAGAACAGTGCCCAGGCTCTAAGTCCAAGCCCCAGGACCAGCACAAAATAAAACAAAAGAAAACTATGTTATTTCTGCTGACCATTTCATCAGATGAAACCAAACTGGCCTTTGAGCCCATCTGCCTTGGCATTCCTTAACTCTGCATTTGTCTTTCAGATAGAAAGTCTACAACATGGAGTGTCAGACTAGGGCAGCTACTACTATCAGCCAAGAAAAATGATGCCACAGCTTTTTATGACACATTGAAACTGGTGAGGGCAGAGCAGATTGTGCCACTGTCGGCTGCAAGCTTTGAAAGCGGCTCCTACCAGCGAGGATATGAGTACATTGTGAGGTATCTTGGGACTCCACCTTTTTATGCAGTTTTATACATTTTTTATGGTGCTGATCCGGAGTCTTGAACTCAGGGCCTGGCTGCTGTCCCTTAGCTTTTTTACTCAAGACTGGTGCTAGAACACCTGAACCTTTCTTTTTCCAAATTTTTCCTGGCCAATTGTAAGTAAGACTTTCACATACGTTCCTGCCCAGGCTGGCTTTGAACTATAGTCCTCAGATCATAGCCTCCTGGGCAGTAGCATTACAAGCATAAGCCAACAGTACCTGGCTCAGGATTGGAATTTTTCATCACTAAATAATTTTGATTGTGTGTTTGGCTGATTGCCTAGCTACTGAAAATGGTTCTTTCATTCTTTTACCTTACAGTCACCCTATAGATTTTTGTTTTTTAAATCTTCTAACATCCATCCTTTTTATTGGAAAACTAATTTTTTTTTGTCTGTTATGGGGCTTGAACTGTGGGCCTGAGCACTGTCCCTCAGCTCTTCAGCTCAAGGCGAGCACTCTACCACTTGAGCTACAGCGCCACTTCTGTTTTTCTGAGTGTTTATTGGAGATAAGAGTTTCACGGACTTTCTTGCCTGGGATGGCTTTGAACCGCGATCCTCAGATCTCAGCCTCCTAAGTAGCTAGGATTACAGGCATGAGCCACCAGCGCCTGGCTTGGGAAACTAATTTTTAAAAAACCATAAGTAGTTCTTTTTCTCTTGTAATGTCATAGCTGACTTCCTGTATAACTAACCTTAGTAACTGAGACATCTCCTGAGTCTGGCACATTGGCACTTGCCATAATTTCCATTCTGTAGCTACTCAGAATACCCTTGGGCTATATTTGTACCCTCTTAGAAAAGAAAATCAAACTTCCATTCATTGCACAGGCCTTCTTATAGTAGCACCAGTAATATACAGAGTCATGTTGATTTATAGTGAATCCGTATTTTATTTTAATGCAGGTGGAAAAGTTTGGTTGTTAAGTATTTCCATTTAGTTCATAAGAAATTGGGGGAATCACAGCAAAACATTCAGTATTGTAACTAGCATAAATCGTTGCTTATGCTCAATTTGAAATCAAACATATAACTGTTGCTGATTACATAATAAGAATATATATATTCAGATTCTACTAAAGAAAAACTACTCATCATTGATTCTCCATGCTGATGGAATGCCCATGCTTTATGCATGACCTACTCAGAGGCTCAGAGGGTGATTCACGTGCTGTGTCTGTTGGCAGGTTGCACATGTTGTGTGAGTTAGAGCATGGCGTCAGACCTCTGTTTCACCAGTTTCCAGGTGACGGGTGTCACGAGGACTCTCTCAACTGGGTGGCTCGTCTAGAGATGACCCAGAATTCCTACAGAGCCAAGGAGCCCATCCTGGCCCTCCGGAGGGCTTTGCTGAGTCTCAACAAAAGGTTTCAACATTACTTTTTTTTTTCTTAATGCCAGTTAATCTTGAATTTAGTATGATGTTTGGATGGTGCTAGGGAGTATTTTATTTCCTCATTTGCATTTTTCTGTTATTCTCAAGAATACATTGTATAATTGAAATAGGCCTACATGAGAATCAATTTTATATGCCATTTACCTTTTTTTTTTTTTTTTTGCCAGTCTTGGGCCTTGAACCTCAGGGCCTGGGCACTGTCCTTGAGCTTCTTTTGCTCAAAGATAGCGCTCTACCACTAAGCCACATTCCTAGCCCCCCCCCCCCCCCCCACCCTTCTTTGAAAGGTAATAAGCCAGTATAAGTCAATACAAAGTCCTGGACTGGGGATAAAACTCAGTGGTAGAACATTTGACTAGCTTGTTTTTTGTTTTGTTTTGTTTTTCTTCCTGTCATGGGGCTTGAACTTGGGACCTGAGCACAGTCCCTGAGCTCTTTTGCTCAAGGATAGCACTCTACCACTTTGAGCCACAGCACCACTTTTAGTTGTCTGGTGGTTCATTAGAGAAGAAACCCACGAACTTTCATGCCCAGGCTGGCTTTGAACCGTGATCCTCAGTTTTCAGCCTCCTGAGTAGCTAAGATGACAGTCCTGAGCCACCAGCTCCTAGCTTTGACTAGCATGTTCTTTGCCATGAATTTGATGGAACCACAAAATAAAATAAAATCTCCCTAATTGATTGATTGATTTTGTCCGTCATGAGACTTGAACTCTGGGCCTGGGTGATGTCCCTGCACTCTTCAGCTCAAAGCAAGCACTCTACCACTTGAGCCACAGTGCCACTTCCGGTCTTCTAGTGGTTTATAGGAGATAAGAGTCTCACAGACTTTCCTGACTGGGCTGGCTTTCAATGGTGATCCTCAGATCTCAGCCTCCTGAGTAGCTAGGATTACAGGTTTGAGCCACCGGTGCCTGGCTCCTAATTTTTTTTTATTATTATTTTTCTTTGTGGGTTGTGGGGCTTGAACTCTGGGCCTGGGCACTGTCCCTGTGCTCTTCAGCTCAAGCCGAGTGCTCTACCATTTGAGCCACAGTGCCACTTCCCATTTCTTAGTGGTTTATTGGAGATGAAAGTGTCACGGACTTTCCTGCCTGGGCTGACTTTGAACCCCGATCCTCAGATCTCAGCGTCCTGAGTAGCTAGGATTACAGGCATGAGTCACAGGCACCCAGCTAATCTCCCTAATTTATAACAGATAAAAATGGAACATTGTAAGAAAATTGAAATCAGGGTTTTTTGTGTTTTTTTTTTTCTTTTTTAACCAAGTATTTGTTGATTCTTTTTAAATAGTACATTAAGAAGCTTAACTCTTTTTTTTTTTAATTGTGAAAATACTGTACAGAGGGGTTATAATTACATGGACAAGATAATGAGTACATTTCTTATCAAGCATTGTTGTCTCCTCCTTTGTTTCCCCTTCCCATCCCTTCCCATCTCCCCTTAACTTTTTTTGGAAAGAGGTATTTTAGTTGGGTTCCTGAGCACACTTACAAATGCTCTTTTTCTTCATGTCCTGCCACATGCCGTTAGACCAGATTACAATGAGATGATTGGAGAATGCTGGCTACAGAGTGCCAGAGTGGCTCGAAAGGCTGGTCACCACCAGACAGCCTACAACGCTCTCCTCAATGCCGGGGAGTCCAGACTCGCTGAACTCTACATGGAAAAGGCTAAGTGGCTCTGGTCCAAGGTAATAGCTACAGAAATACTATCCTCTCTATATTCTGTTGTAGACTCTGTGCTTCCTGAAAAGGGCCAGCTGAGGGAAAACACCCGGTCCAAATTCAGAACCTTTTTATTTATTTATTTTGTCACTCATGGGGCTTGAACTCTGGACCTGGGTGCTGTCCCTTAGCTCCTCAGCTTAAGGCTAGGGCTCTACCACTTGAGCCACAGCACCACTTCCAGATTTCTGGTGTTTCATTGGAGATAAGAGTCTCACGGACTTTCCTGCCCAGGCTGGCTTTGAACCACAATACTCAGATCTCAGCCTCCTGAGTAGCTAGGAATACAGGTGTGAGCCACCAGTGCCTAGTTAGTAGTTCCTTAACTTTGGAAATACTTCTTGAATCTTCTCTAGTTCCTACTATTTAAACCCATATCTTTATTATTTTAAGCCTCTAATAATAGATAGCTGTCCAGGATTCCCTAATGCCTACATGTAGTCCTCTGGAATAGTACTCATCACAGACTGATTAACTAGTGTCTCCTTGCTTGACTGTAAACCTTCCTTTCTTTCTCTTTCTTCCTTTTTTTTTGCCAGTCATGGGGCCTGAACTCTGGGCCTGGGCGCTGTCCCTCAGCTCTTCAACTCAAGGCTAGTGCTCTACCACTTGAGCCACAGCACCACTTCCGGCTTTTTTCTTTTTGCTTATGTGGTGCTGAGGAATCGAACCCAGGGCCTCATGCATGCAAGTCAAGCGCTCTACCACTGAGCCACCTTCCCAGCCCACTTTCTTTCTTTCTTTCTTTCTTTCTTTCTTTTTTTCTTTCTTTCTTTCTTTCTTCCTTTCTTCCTTCCTCCCTCCCTCCCTCCCTCCCTCCCTCCCTCCCTCCCTCCCTCCCTCCCTCCCTCTCTCTCTCTTTCTTTCTTTTCTTTCTTTCTTTTTCTTCCTCCCTCCTTCCTTTCCTCTTTCTTTCTTTCTCTCCCTTTTCTCTTTCTTTCTCTCTCTCTTCCTTCCTTTCCTTCTTTCTCTCTTTCTTTCTTTCTTTCTTCTCTATCTTTGTTTGTTTCTTTCTTTCTCTCTCTCTCTCTTTCTTTCTTTCTTTTTTTTGGCAGTCCTGGGCTTGAACTCAGGACCTGGGCACTTTTTTTTTTTTTTTTTTGCTTCTTTTGCTCAAGGCTGGCTGGCACTCTACCCTTGAGCAACAACTCCATTTCTGACTTTTTTTGTGTTTGTGGTACTGAGAATTTGAACCCAGGGGTTCATTCATGCTAGGCAAGCACTCTACCACTGAGCCACCTTCCCAGCCCTCTTTTCTTTTTCCTTTTTTTTTCTTTCTTTTTCTTTTCCTTTTTCCTTTCTATTCTCCATCTTTCTTCCTCTTTTTTCCTTTTCTTTCTTCCTTTATTTTTTCCATTTCTTTTCTCTCCTTCCTTCCCTCTCTCTCCCTCTCTTTCCCTCTCTTTCTTCCTTCCTTCCTTCCTTTCTCTCTTTCTCTTTCTTCTTGACACTCTCACTGTGTAGTCCAGGCTGTCTTGGAACTTTCAATCCTTCTATCTCCAACTCCTGGGGCGTATACCAACCACACCCAGCTGGTTATGAGTGTTTCACGCTAGAGATTTCAGTTTACCTGTGATTGTGACTCCATGCCATCTACATAAAACTTCAGATGAGTAAATGAATGAATGAGTAAATAAAAGATTTCTACCTGAAACAAATTAGTACTTCCCTTTTAGAATTTTTTTTATTAGGAGGGAAATGAGAAATAAATATGAAATTACTGGTGGATTTGTACTTAAACATTTAATGAACTTTGAATAATTTTGTTTTTCAGAAAACAAATATATTCTTCACTTAAAAGGCTTGCTGTCTTTTTTCTCTTAGGGTGATGTTCATCAGGCACTTATTGTTCTTCAAAAAGGTGTTGATTTATGTTTTCCTGAAGATAAATCCCAAACCGAGAGTAAGGACATGTTGATTCTTGGTCGAGCTACCCTACTTGTGGGCCGATTTATGGAAGAAACAGCTAACTTTGAGAGCAATGCAGTTATGAAAAAATACAAGGCAAGTATATTAAAAAAAAGTACATGTATAATAGGAAACTGGCTCTTCAGTGAGATTAGACTCTAACTATAAGGAATCACCACAAGGTAAACTGTAGTGAGACCACTTACCATCCTGAAATAGGGTGCAGCCCCTGCTCCTCCCCACCTACTCCAAAGTTAAACTTATGTAACTTCCTTAGTAGATATGTAATTTTATAAGATGGTGTCATAAAAAGTAAACCTCTCATGCTGGGACTTTGTCAAGGGGGAGTGTAGTTGGGAGAGGGCACAGGGTGCCAAGACAGCTATAATGTAGTTCAAAAATAATGAAGAACTGGGCGCCAGTGGCTCACGCCTGTCATCCTAGCTATTCAGGAGGCTGAGATCTGAGGATTGCGGTTCAAAGCTAGCCTGGGCAGGAAAGTCTGTGAGACTCTTATCTCCAATAAACCACCAGAAAACTGGAAGTGGTGCTGCGGCTCAATTGGTATAGCACTTGCCTTGAGCTGAAGAGCTGAGGGACAGTGCCCAGGCCCAGAGTTCGAGTCCCACAACCAACAAAAATAAAAATAAAAAAATAAACCTCTCAAGCCAGTTGCTAGTGTCTCACACCTATAATGCTAGTTACTCAGGAAGCTGATAACTGGAATCAAGGTTAGCCAACCTGGGCAGCAAAGCCTTATGAGACTCTTACCTCCAGTTAACCCTTACCAGAAAACCAGAAGTGGAACCATGGCTCAAGGTGGTAGCTCTATCCTTGAGCACAAAAGCTGAGGGTCGGCACCCAGGCCCCGAGTGCAAGCCCCACAACCAAAAAAATAAAAATAAACCTATGGACAGCCAGGTACCAGAGGGTCACACCTGTAATTCTAAATAATCAGGAGGCTGAGATCTCAGGATCATGGTTCAAAGCCAGGGAAGTTGGTTAAGTTTTTAATCTCCAGTTAACCACAAAATGCTGGCAGTGGAGTTGTAGGTCAAGTGGGAGAGTGCTAGTTTTGAGCACAAAAGCTCAGGAACAGTACTTAGACCCTGTGTTGAAGTGCCAATGCCAGCACCACGAAATAAATAAAATAAGCCCCTGACTCCTGGATCAATGAAAAACTACAGTGGAAATTTTAAAATACTTTGAGCCAAATGGTAATTATGTCATATCAAAACCTGTGGGTATAGCTGAGGTCGTTCCAAAGGGAGTTGACATTTTCACATGCACATATTGGAAGGAAATGAAAATTCAATGTTAGTTTTTAGTGTGAGGTTCTCCTCGTGAATGAATGACCAGTGTTCTCTCCCATAGGATGTGACCTTGTTCCTCCCAGAGTGGGAAGTTGGGCATTTCTACCTTGCCAAGTACTACGACAAACTGATGCCCATGGTAACAGACAACAAAATGGAGAAGCAAGGCGACCTCATCCGTTACATAGTCATTCACTTTGGAAAGTGAGTATAACAGTGCATTGGTGCCGCTTTATTCACATAGACAAGATGGTTTCTGGGGCTGTGGGTTGTTTTTGTTTTTGTTTTTCTGTGGTGTTGTAGATCACACATGCTAGACACAACACTGTAACACTACATGCTTTCAGAGTACACACCCAACAGCTGATCTTGTCATTTGCTCTTTTTTTTTGGGGGGGGGGGGGGGTCCGGTTGTACTGCTTGAACTCTGAGCCTGGGCGCTGTCCCTCAGCTCTTCAGCTCAAGGCTAGCACTCTACCACTTGAGCCACAGCGCCACTTCTGGCTTTATTCTGTTTGCTTATGTGGTGCTGAAGAATCAAACCCAGGGCCTCCTGCATGCAAGGCAAGCACTCTACCACTGAGCCACCTTCCCAGCCCTTGTCATTTGCTCTTTAGTCTTAGTATGTATCCTATGCCTTGATATGGAATGTATTTAATGTTTCTTCTTATTTAAAACCCTATTTAAACTACTTAAAGTAACTAAAGTCCTTATATGCATTAAAACTCTTAGTTGTAGGAAAAATTTTTTGAATCCTCTTCAAGGGAGTAAGGCCATTTTGGAACCTATTTCTTCTTTTTTTTTTTTTTTTAAGTATTTTCTTTTTCCTTTTTCTTTCTTTTGAGTCAGAGTCTTGCTATGTTAGCCAGGCTGGCCTCAGTCCTTCTGCCTTAACCTTGTAAGTGCTGGCATTACAAATATACAACACCATACTCAGCCTCGTCAGAATCTATTTCTATCTATAGTAGTTATAGTAAAATGTTTGCATGCTTAAAGAAGTAGATATTAGCTTTTAACATGTATTTAAATGACTGAAGTTATCTTGACTAACTATATTATTACTGATTAAGTATCAGTGTTTTCCCTCAAGGAGCTATACAGCATCTGTATATACATAAAACATTTCAATAATAGTTTATAACAGAATGTGAAAGCACATATAAATATCAGAAAGATCTTCCTGATATAATCAAGGCAGCAGAAGTGAAACAGACAAATCCAGAAGTTATGAGCTTTGGACAGATCTGAGGTGGAATAATAATCGTTAGCGCAGAGGGGCATGGTATGGGGATGGAGAGTCGGTGGATGTTGAGCTTCTAGATGGGATGGTGTAGAATTCCGAAGGTGGATGGATGGTGGTGATGCTGGCATGGTGGTGTGCATGGATAGCAGTGTGAATATACAGCCAGGTTTCTGCTTAAACGTGGTAAGGGGGGATATTTTATGTTATATATTTTACCACAATAAAAATTTTGAATAAAATCTGGGCACTGGTGGCTTATCCTTCTAATCCTAACTACTCAGAGGGCTATGATCTGGAGATAGTGGTTCAAAGTCAGTCCCTGGGCAGGAAAGTCTGTAAGACTGATCTCTAACCATCAAAAAGCCAGACGTAGAGCTGTGGCTCAAGCGGTAGAGCACTAGTCTTGAGCAAAAAAGCTCAAGAATAGTGCCCAGTCCCTAAGTTCAAGCCTTAAGATTGGCACCAAAAAAAAAATTGGGGGGGGGGGTGGTCTGGTTGTGGGGCCTGAACTCTGGGTGGGCCTGGGCGTTGTCCCACAGCTCTTCAGCTCAAGGCTAGCGCTCTACCACTTGAACCACAGTGCCACTTACAGCTTTTTTTTTCTTTTCTGCTTATGTGGTGCTGAGGAATTGAACTCAGGGCCTCATGCATGCAAGGCAAGCACTCTACCACTGAGCCACCTTCCCAGACCCAAAATTTTTTTCTTAAATAAGGTGATCACCATACTTCAAAACCTTTCTTTTTCAGTAAGGAGACAACTTTATTGTTTTTGCAGGTTTGCCAGTAACCAGCATTGAGGGGTTTGTTCATAGGATGGTTAGAAACTAGACCTGATGAACAACCTAAACTGACGAATATAATAAGGCTGGAAAATTCCAGAGATAAGGGATTATGAATATTTGAATCCCAAGAACTGTCATTCACCATTCATATAATCTTGTGGGATTTTTTTTTGTGGGGGGGGCCAAGTTGAGGATGGGTGATACCATATTGAGGATTGAACTCAGAGCCTAGGCATTGTCCCTTAGCTTTTTTCCCTTAAGGCTGGCACTATACCACTTGAGCCACACCTTCACTAATGACTTTTTTGGTGGTTAATTGAAGATGAGAATTTCCCTGCTTGGGCTGGCTTCAAACCATGATCTTCAAATCACAGCCACTTGAGTAGCTAGGATTACAGGCATGAGCCACCAGCACCCAGTCATATATTCTTAATCTATAGGCTATTAATTCATATTTTTTAATTAAGCAGAGCATGATAAAACCAGAATTTCTGGAATCAGTCCAGAATTTATTGAAGGGAAGAAGTGTGGGGTTGTGATTTTCCAGAAAATGGAATGATTGGGCCTGACCAAGACTTATAGGCTGTAGAATGCAAACAAAGGTACAGATTGTAAGGACAAGTTAAAAGAAGTATTGGCAGAAGCCCCATTAACTCAGAACTTGTATCATTTTTGACTCACACAGTACAAAGCTAAGTGGTGAATTAGTAAGAAAAAAAGGAGGCAGGAGTCAAAAATAACCTCTATTAGGAAGAAAGCCCAATTTGTCAGAAGGCTGTATGTAATGTGAGTGGTACTTTAAGTCCTTTTAGTTCACATAACCTAAAAAAGAGCCCTGTGTTAATAATCTTCCTTATCTATATAATTTCAGATCTTTACAGTATGGAAATCAATTCATTTATCAGTCAATGCCCCGAATGTTATCACTATGGCTTGATTTTGGTGCTAAAGCATACGAGTATGAAAAAGGTATTACTTCCCAAGGAACCAGAATTTTAACTTTGGTATAAAGAATTATAACTTAAAAAAAAATTATAACTTTCGTACAAAGTTACATTTGCCTTGACCATCTAATTTACGAAAAGTTAAGAACTAATGTGATCATTTAAGTATTGTTAAAGTGCAATAATTGGGAGAAGGAAGGGAAAGATACATTATAGACTTTTAAACTAGCTGCAATTTATGGCTTACCTATGAAATTCTAACCATTTCTTGATAAACTCAACACATAAGAAAATACATCACATTTCAAATGAATAATTTACTCAGAAATTACCATGAGTAGTAAAAACTAATAGCTCTTGGCCCTACATGTTTTTCCTACTCAGTCAGAGTTAACCATTTCACAGGTTGGAAATAAAATGTGTTTTTAAAGGGTTTTTGAAATAATTTTTTAATGTGAAGTAAACGGATAACACTTCTTTTTCTTTCTGGTCTTTTCAACTGAATTTTTTTCCTAGGTGGCCGAGCTGATCGCATACAAATGAAAAATGACTTGACTAAAATGAATAAGGTTATCACAGAACACAAGAATCAGCTACCTCCCTATCAATTTTTGACTGCGTTTTCACAATTGATCTCTCGAATCTGTCATTCTTCAAATGAAGTCTTTGTTGTCTTGATGGAAATAATAGCCAAAGTTTTCTTGTCCTATCCTCAGCAAGCAATGTGGCTGATAACAGCTGTGTCAAAGGTAATCTCAGTCACCTCAGTGTCTTCTATTTTCTGTGGCTAATAGGGTTCTGGACTGAATATTAGGTTTGTTGTTTTAAATACTGCCTAAAAAGAGAAGTTATGGCATACTGTAATTAGCCTATGCATAATCTGCTTCACTAAGACATTTGGAGATATTTACCATATGAAACTACATGCTTAAAATCAAAGAATTCAGTATATTTTCTTTATGAAGTCTAATAAACTATAATGGTAACCCTTTTTTATTCAAGTACTTTAATCCAAAGTGCTTGGACTATATACTAAAAACAATACTTCATTGAGGTATTTTAAATGGGCATGTTTAAGGTGATGAAAATTTTAATAAAAAAATAGTTTAGAGGATTTAGAATTTGCATAGAGGTAAAAATGAAAATGAATGATGCCATTGATTAATATTTTGTTGTAATTTTGTATGTATATTTCTAAGCATATTTTAACATTAGAACTTACATGGCATAATTTCTTATTTTTCACTTAAATAAATAGTTAAGAATTGAATATATTGGTATCTTTACATATTCTTTTAAAACATATTTCTTTTTTTTTTTTTTTGGGTCCGGTTGTGGGGCCTGAACTCTGGGCCAGAGTGCTGTCCCTCAGCTCTTCAGCTCAAGGCTAGCACTCTACCACTTGAGCCATAGTGCCACTTCCGGCTTTTTTCTTTTTGTTTATGTGGTGCTGGGGAATCGAACCCAGGGCCTCATGCATTGCAAGGCAAGCGCTCTACCACTGAGCCACCTTCCCAGCCCCTAAAACATATTTCTGTAACTGAATAGAAGTTTTAAATGGCTTTCTATACTTTAGATAAATAGCTTATCATTAAGATGATTTTAGCCAGGTGCTGGTGGCTTATACCTATAATCCTAGCTACTCAGGAAGCTCAGATCTGAGGGTTGAGTTCAAAGCTACCTAGGCAGGGAAGTCTTGTGAGACTCTTATCTCTAATTAACCACTAGAAAACCAGAAGTAGAACTCTGGCTCAAAAATAATAAGAAAAATGAAATGATAAGAAAAATGAGCAGAAAAGCTCAGGGATAGGGTCTGTCCCTGAGTTCAAGCCCTACAGCCAAGAACAAAAAAAAAAAAAATTATTTCTTTTCTTTGTTGTTGGATTACTTCTAGATATTTCTATACTTGCTTTCTTTTCATATAGTTCCCAAGAAGAGCTTTTACCGGGTTATGAGGTAAAAAACATTTTTATGGCTTTTGATGGCATTGCCACATTGTATTTCTATCAGTATAAATTCACATCATGAGCTTTTTGTGTGTGTGTGTGTGTGTGTGTGCTGGTCCTAGGGCTTGAACTCAGGGCCTGGGCACTGCCTCAAAGCCAGCATTCTACCACTTGAGTCATAGCTCAACTTCTGGCTTTTGGAAATGAGTTGGAGATGGGTCTCATAGACTTTCCTGCCTGGGCTGGCTTTGAACTGCAGTCCTCAGATCTCAGCCACCTAGGATTATAGGCGTGAACCACTAGTATTTTTTAAGTTGTTTTTTGTCAGTCACAAGTTTTCTTACCTATTTAAAATCTAATATATGATTTTATTTAACTCTTTTTTTATGGCAGTCTTCTTATCCCATGCGTGTGAACAGATGCAAGGAAATTTTAAACAAAGCTATCAATATGAAAAAGTCATTAGAAAAGTTTGTTGGAGATTCAACTCGCCTGACAGACAAGCTTCTGGAATTGTGCAACAGACCGGTACTTTCTCCTATCTTATTATTTACAGATAGCTGTTCAATCATTTATATAGAATACAAATGTGATTTGAGCTGATCTTCTTCCACTTGACTAAATAAGTTTCTAACATATACAGATATGTGAGCTGGGCACTGATGGCTCACGCTTATCATCCTTACTACTCAGAAGGCTGAGATCTGAGGATGGAGGTCAGGAAAGTCCCTGAGACTCTTATCTCCAATTAAGTAGCAAAAATCCAGAGATGGAGGTGTGGCTCAAATGTGACTCGAGTAGCTTTGAGTGAAAAAGCTAAAGACAGTGCCTAGGCCCTGAGTTCAAACACTAGTACTAGCATACGTGCACACGCACACATACTCAATCATATATACATGTCAAAAATGTATCAAGTGTGGGGCTGGGAAGGTGGCTCAGTGTAGAGCCCTTGCCTTGCATGCCTGAGGCCCTGGGTTCAATTCCTCAGCACCACGTAAGCAAAAAGAAAAAAGCTGGAAGTGGCACTGTGGCTCAAGTGGTAGAGCACTAGCCTTGAGCTGAAGAGCTGAAGGACAGCGCCCAGGCCCAGAGTTCAGGCCCCACGACCGGACCCAAAAAAAACAAACAAAAAATGTATCAAGTGTGTACTTTTGTTGTTGTCGTTGTTGTTCCAGTATTGGGGCTTGAACTTGGAACCTGGGCATTGTCCCTGAGTTTTTTTGCTGAAGGCTAGTGCTCTACCCTTTGAGCCACAACTTCCAGCTTTTTATGGTTAATTAGATCCTGCCCAGGCAGGATCCTCACATCTCTGCCTACTGAGCTGGTTAGGATTACAGGTATGAACTACTAGCATACCCAGCACAAATTTGTACTTTGAATATGTGTGGATTTATCTTTTTGTTTTGGTAGTATTGAAATTGAACCAGACTTGAGAAAGCTAGGCAAGTGCTCTACCAGTGAACATACTCTCCATCCACTGTTAACAAAGCTGTTTTTAAAATTTATAACAGTGCTGGGAAGTGGCTTAGTGGTAGAGTGCTTGCCTAGCATGCATGAAGTCCTGGGTTTGATTCCTCAGTACCATTTAAGCAGAAAGGCTGGAAGTGGCACTGTGGCTCAAGTGGTAGAGTGCTAGCCTTGAGCAAAATAAGCTCAGGGACAGTGCCTAGGCCCTGAATTCAAGCCCCAGGACTGCCAAAAAGAAAATAATAAAATAAAATTTATAACATAAAATTTTCTGAAAATTGTTAGTGTGAATTTTGAATAATAGAAAACTATATTTTATTCCTAAACTTTTTTTTTTTTTCAGTTGTGGGGCTTGAACTCTGGTCTTGGGTACCATCCCTCAGCTCTTCAGCTCAAGGCTAGCGCTCTACCACTTGAACCACAGTACCATTTCCAGTATTCTGGTGGTTTATTGGAGATAAGAGTCTCACAGTCTGGGAAGGTGGCTCAGTGGTAGAGTGCTTGCCTTGCATGCATGAGGCGCCCTGGGTTTGATTCCTCAGCACCACATAAGCAGAAAAAGCCGGAAGTGGTGCTGTGGCTCAAGTGGTAGAGCACTCACCTTGAGCTGAAGAGCTGAAGGACAGCCAGGCCCAGAGTTCAGGCCCCATGACCGACAAAATAAATAAATAAAAGAAAAAATAAAGTTTCACAGACTTTCCTTCCCTGGCTAGCTTTGAACCACAATCTTCAGATCTCAGACTCCTGAATAGCTAGGATTACATGTGTGAGCCATTGGCGCCTGGCTATTACCTAAGTTTCTTAGAAGGAATATTAAGTAGAAGATATATAAAATTAAACCATAAAATCATGTATTTAAAAATACATGTTTGAGTATCATTTTGCTGCCAAATGAATTGACTTTACAAATCTTTTTGGATTTTCTAATGTCTGACCACAGCTCTCATCATTAAACAATCCTGTGGTGTTAGTTTCATTAATGCTACTAGGTTAAAGCAAGATGACTATAACTACTTAGGAAACTGCACACTGCTAAACTCTTGTAATTAACGTAGCATAAAAATGAAATGTTTATTGTGGTGGAAGTTAATTAAGCATTGTATAATTCAAAGATAAACATAGAAGTAAGAATGTATTACTTTTGTTTTCCAGTTTGATATGAGTGTTTCCACATTTAGCATGAATACTCACTTTAAAATGCTGAAGAAGTTGGTGGAAGATATGACATTCAGTGAGATCCTCATTCCTTTGCAGTCAGTCATGATACCTACACTTCCTTCCATTCTGGGTGCCCATGCCAACCATGATGCATTTCCCGGGCATTGGGTCTATATCACAGGCTTCGATGATACGGTAAACTTCACTTATATGATGAGAGCAATGCCTTTGAAATTTACTATTATCTTCATTTTTATTTTACATAACTCAGTGTGCAGATATTTAAGCAGTTTTGGTTTTAACTAATATGATGTCATCTTTTAGGTGGAAATTCTTCCTTCTCTTCAGAAACCAAAGAAAATCTCTATAAAAGGTTCAGATGGAAAGTTGTACATCATGATGTGCAAGCCAAAAGATGACCTGAGAAAGGACTGTAGACTAATGGAATTCAACTCTTTGATTAACAAGGTTTGGAGATGGTTTGCTTCTATGTGGGAACTAGCAGAATTACCATCATATGATCAGTCTTCTCAGTATGCAGTCATACTACTTTCTCAGAAAGGAAAGAAGTATACTGGCCTTTTTTTCACAATTTTTTTTTCTTGTAGTAAAATTTATATATAACATAAAATTAGCCAGGTGCTGGTGGCTCACACCTGTAATCCTAGCTACTCAGGAGGCTGAGATCTGAGGATCGCAGTTCAAAGCCAGCCTGGGCAGGAAAGTCCGTGAGACTCTTATCTCCAATAAACCACTAGAAAACTGGAAGTGGCGCTGTGGCTCAAGCAGTAGAGTGCTTACCTTGAGCTGAAGAATGCAAGGACTGTGTCCAGGCCCAGAGTTCAAGCCCCACGACTAACAAAAAACAAACAAAAAATAAAACCCATAAAATTTACCATTTCTAAATGTGTTTCTGTGTATTAAGTGTATTCACGGTATTGTGCAGCTATCACCATTGGCCCTTCCAGAACTTTTGTGATATTCCCAGATTGAAACCATGTATTACACAGTAATGTGCCCCATTTCTTTTTCCAGTCCCCAGCAACCACAGTTCTACTTGCTGTCTCTGTTATTTCACCCATCTTGGGTACCTCATAGAAATGGAATCATATGTAGTATTTGCCCTTCTGTGACTGGTTTTCTTTAGTTGGCATTAGTCTTAAAGGCTTAGCACTTCCTTCCTTTTGAAATTGAATAATATTCCAAATAAAGAAGATGTGGACACCATAAAAAAAAATTTTTAAATATGAAGAAAAAAAAAAGACGTGTGGCTGGGAATGTGGCTTAGTGGTAGAGCTCTTGCCTAGCATGTGGGAAGCCCTGGGTTCGATTCCTCAGTACCACATACACAGAAAATACTGGATGTGGCACTATGGTTCAAGTGGTAGAGTGTTATCCTTGAGCAAAAGAAGCTCAGGCCCTGAGTTCAAGCCCCAGGACTGACAAAATGAGAAAGAAAATGTGACATTTATTTTATGCATTTATCCACTGACGAACCCTTCACTTGCTCACATATTTTGGTGACTGATCATGCTCTGAACATGAGCAGAAAGATATTATAGTCCCTTTTTTGATCACCAATTTTCTGTTTTCAATCTTACATAATAATGTTGCCTGTTTTACTCAATTTTTAACAAATAAGATGTTTATAGAGCAAAATGAAAGATATGATGGGAAATATTTTTAGTATCAGGTCTTACAGATATTTTTCTAGTTAGTATCAGGTTATATACAGATAGCTATGATAGTTAAAGGATATATACATATATATACATATACACATATACATATCCCTTATCAGACTTTTTTGGGCATTCTTTTTTTTTTGGGGGGGGGGAGGTCCAGTCGTGGGGCCTGAACTCTGGGCCTGGGCACTGTCCCTCAGCTCTTCAGCTCAAGGCTAGTGCTCTACCAGTTGAGCCACAGTGCCACTTCCGGCTTTTTTTTTGCTTTTTGCTTACGTGGTGCTGAGGAATCGAACCCAGGGCCTCATGCATGCAAGGCAAGCGCTCTGCCACTGAGCCATCTTCCCAACCCCTTTTTGGGGGATTCTTAAGGCTTAGAAACAGATGGAGGACGCTATGCAGTAGTTTTTACCTTACAGAGGAGTTACCCACAGTACATTGTGAGCCTTCATTGATATTCTCTTCCTATGAAATGAACAATATTTAGATACACTTGATGTCGGATTTAGAATTGTTCATTCTCTTTTTAAATTTTTGTGCATTTCTTAAACAGAGCTTAAGAAAAGATGCAGAGTCTCGCCGAAGAGAACTTCATATCCGAACCTATGCGGTTATTCCACTGAATGACGAGAGTGGCATTATTGAATGGGTGAACAACACTGCCGGCTTGAGGCCTATTCTGACCAAACTCTATAAGGAAAAGGGTATTCAGTTAGTTCTAATAAATGTATCATACAGTGCTAAGAACATATCAAATATGGATGTCAGTATATATGTTTAATACAAGCCAAGGTAAAATCTCCATTAAGTGACGATTCTGTAAGATTCCCATCTTCCTTTCCTGTCTCCCTTGGGTTTTGAAACTTGCTCTCATTGTAAAAATGTTAAGGAACTTTAGAACTTGTTCTTCCAAGATATTGCAGGGCTATTGTGAAACAAACGTCTTCCTTTTTTATCAGCCTTTTGAAAATAACTAAGTAGGCTGCGAGTTCTATTGGGACCTGAGTCCACTTGCAGCACTGGCTTTGTAATAAAGACTCCCAATTGGGGGGGGGGGGGGGGGAGGAGCCGGGGGAAGAAGTAAATACATTGTGAATAATGAGAGCGACTCTCAGAAGAAACAGAAATGGTTATGTTAGAATATCAGGCTTGTGCTGGGCGCAGGTGGCTCACATCTGTAATTCTAGCTACTCAGGAGGCTGAGATCTGAGGATCGCAGTTCAAAGCCAGCTCGGGCAGGAAAGTCCGTGAGACTCTTATCTCCAATAAACCACTAGAAAACTGGAAGTCGCGCTGTGGCTCAAGCAGTAGAGCGCTCACCTTCAGCTGAAGAGCGTAGGGACAGCGCCCAAAGTTCAAGCCCCACGACCAACCAAAAAAAAAAAAGAAAATCAGGCTTAATACTAATAGTCAGTGATTATAATCAATGACAAAATAAAGAGATATACACTAACAGGAGTGATATAAATAAGTAATTGTACACATGGCCAGCTCTTTTTAATAGTGGGATACACATAATTTTGTTCTTAACAATTTGAGTGACAGCAGACATATCTTGATATATTTTAATAGGAATATTGTTTGTCTTTTTTTTCACGTGGGTGTGATGAATGGAAATCACTCTGCTTTGCAGGTGTGTATATGACCGGAAAGGAACTTCGCCAGTGTATGCTACCCAAGTCAGCATCATTGTGTGAGAAACTGAAAATATACCAAGAATTTCTCCTGCCCAAGCACTTTCCTATTTTTCATGAGTGGTTTCTGAGAACATTTCCAGATCCTACATCATGGTAAATTATGAAGACTGTATACCTCATTAGGATGGAATGTTGATCTGTAGATTTGACGTTTTTTATTGTCTCATCTGATAGATGCAATCATTTGTTTAGGTATAGTAGCAGATCCGCATACTGCCGTTCAACCGCTGTGATGTCTATTGTTGGTTATCTCCTGGGGCTTGGAGACAGGCATGGTGAAAACATTCTTTTTGATTCTTTGACTGGGGAATGTGTACATGTGGATTTCAACTGTCTTTTTAATAAGGTATGTCCTAGCTTCCTTCCTTCAACAACTGTTCCTCCTTGAGATATCTATTGGCAACTCTTAGAACTGAATCACAATGGGAATTTCCTGCCTGGTTTTCCTCTGTAGATCCCATAGTAAAGCAATTTAAGATGGAGAAATTTTAGTGGAGTGATAGAGGAAATTCAGTAGTACTGAACTTGAAGTTCAAATGCATCTAGGACGGTAACTCAGTAGTTATGTGAACCTGGGAGAATCAGTTCGTTTTATTGAGACTTAGTTTTAGACAGATAGAGTGATTTAATATGGTGGTTTCCAAATCTGGCAGTATTCAGGGGTGGGGATGTAGCTCAGTGGTAGATTACTTGCCTAGCATGCATGAAGCCTTTGATTCAATCCCACCAAGAATAGTAATAATTATAAAACTGGATACCTAGAGATCCCAAGAGATTTGGATTCTGTAGGTCCAATGTGGAATCTTAGAAATAAATGAAGGAATCAGACTCAACTCTAAGGTCCTCTCTGGCTCTCTAGCATAACAGTCCTGGAAAGCAAAGGGGTTCAGTCCACCATTTTCTCCATGCGGGTCTTCGATGGGTTGCCTTGTGCTGGCACAGGAATCTGAAAAGTCAGGCTCAATGTGGACAAGTTAGATAAACAACTGGCATAGATCAAGTCAAACAAAAGGGAAATGTAGGATAACAGATTGCAAGGATAAAAGAATCCTAGGAAAGACAAGTTACAGAATGACAGCTGGACATGTATGACATGTTTCATTTCCGGTGAGCATCTAACTTCTGGACTTAATATTGAATGCATAAAATTAAATACATTAAATCAGTGAATGGTGAAATCACTCATCTTCTAGATCTTACTCAAGATCAGGTTGTGGGATCAGGTCCACAAAAGCAAAAGCAGCCACGTGACTCTTCTTTGATAAACCTCTAATGTGATTACAAACATAGAGGATATTTTTGTTCTTTGCTGAAGAGTAAACTTTAAAATTTTTGATACCATTACTTTGCTATAAAATTGATTGTTTTGTTTTTTTTTAAGGGAGAAACCTTTGAATTTCCAGAGACTGTACCATTTCGCCTCACTCATAATATGGTTTATGCAATGGGTCCTATGGGCACAGAGGGTCTTTTTCGAAGAGCCTGTGAAGTTACACTGCGGCTGATACGAGATCAGAGGGAGCCTTTAATGAGGTAATGGTCTGTAATTTCTACGTACCTTAGCAGTGCCTGTGAGTGCAATGGTCTCTTGCTCGCTTTTCTTTATGGAGAGATGGCTTGCAGCACTTTTTCTCGCTCACTCTCTTCTATCTTGTTCTATCTTGCCTCTTTCTTCTCCACCTTTCCCTGATCCCTACCCTTCTTTCACAAAAAAAAAAAAAAGTCCCCAAAAGAGATTGAGAGCATTACCATTATCTTTCTTTCATGTACACTTGTTATTTTTAGCAGGATTTTTTTTTTTTGCAAAAATAACATTGTCTTACGTTCATCACATTTGTTTCCACTGTAGTGTCTTAAAGACTTTTATACATGACCCTCTAGTGGAGTGGAGTAAACCACCAAAGGGACTTTCGAAAGGATCCTTGAATGAGACCGGGGAAGTGGTCAATGAAAAGGTTAGTAAGTGGAAAGGTTAGTGAATGAAAAGGTTAGTGAAAGGCGCGTTTGCTCTAATCCAGTACTGCATTTTCTAAAATGACAAATGATTTTAAATTCTGCCCTTGACTATTGATTGTTGTAAATTCTACATCTTCTTGTCATTACAAATGTTAGCATTATTAGCACTCATCAAGTAAAACAGTTTAAGACACACTTCTTTAGCCTTAGACAGAAGGTGTACTTATGAGATAATAGTGGAGAAAATTTGAGCACAGATTGTCTGCCCTTAGAGAACTCCATGTCTGAACCTTAATGTAGTGAAACAAGTGGGTCACCATCTGTCTTGATTAATGTATTAATTCCTTATCAAAATTAGCTGAGCCTTCCAGGGTGAGCGCAGGCAGCCGGCCACCCCCGCCGCAGGGTCAGCTGGTGGGCGGTTCCTGCAAGTTTAAATTCAAGTGAGGGATGGAGTGTGCATGTCAGGCGAGGATGAAGAAGAACACGATCGAGGAGGACATGGATGACCTTGTTCCATGTGCCCTAGAATGCTCCACCATGAGGTCAGAGTTCAGCTGTGAAGGGGACAGTGGCTGGTGGCTCTGTCTGCTGGTGAGGCATGAACCCCGCTGCCTGCCATGCAGACATTGAGAGCTCTGGTCCTCTAGCCAGCGATTGCAAGACCTTTGGAGCTGCCTCCGCTAGACACATGCTTTGCTGCTGGGCTGGACTGAGAGCAGCAAGCACCATCTGGCTGATGTCTCAGTTTTCCCATTCTGCTCCCTCCTGAAATGTAACTTACTGAAGGACAGGGTCAGAAAGCTCTGAGACTGGCAGACAGGACGCAAGATTCTCAGGGTTCTCCTCCTGCAGGCAAATAATTAGTACAAATTATACTTGGAGACATGATGATCTATCCAATGGCTGTGGCATATATAAATCTTTTTTTTTTTTTTTTTTTGCCAGTCCTGAGGCTTGAACTCGGGGTCTGGGCACTGTCCCTGAGTTCCTTTTGCTCTTTCACTCTACCATTTGAACCTCAGCACCACTTCTGTTTTTTTCTCTTTATGTAGTACTGAGGAATCGAACCCAGGACTTCATGCATGCTGGCAAGCACTTGACCACTGAGCCACCCTCCCAGCCCATGCCCATATATAACTCTTCTCAGCAGCCTATGAACTTTTTCCAGAATAAATAACAGTTTGGGCTATGAAGCAAATCCTTAACATATACCCCCCCCCCCAAAAAAAAATCTTGTATCTTATCAGATCATCATGAAATAATGTTAGAAATTAGTAGCAACAGACCTGTACAAATGTGTGGAGATTGAACAGTATACTTTCAAATTATCATTGGGTCAGGGGGGGATTCAGAAGTTTCTGTAATAGGGCTGGGAATGTGGCTTAGTGGTAGATTGCTTACCTAGCATACCTGAAGCCCTGAGTTCGATTCCTCAGTATCACATAAACAGAAAAAGCCAGAGTGGTGCTGTGGCTCAAGTGTTAGAATGCCCTGGTTAGCCCCTGAGTTCAAGCCCCAGGACTGACAAAGAAAAAAAAAGTTTCTACAATAAAATGAAAACGCAAAAATTACTAAGATGGAAACCAAGAGCATACTACAACAGAAAAATGAAACAGAGTTGGTTCTTCCAAAAGATAAGAGATAGAAAATTTCTTAGCTAAGCCAAAAGAAAGAAAAGACCCAAATGAATAAGATGAAAGCTGAGGAGGAGGAATTCACAGCATACAACATTAGTATCAGGGTTCAATTCTATTTGTTCTTGTGAAGTACATGAATTCTTAAAAGGCAAGAGGAACAAAAAGGGAGGTGGGGATACAAATAGGAAGGGAGAAGTCAAAATTAGCCCTATATGAAAATGATTAGATTCCACACTTACAAGAGCCTAGATTCCACTAGAAAACTCCTAGATCCAATAAACACTTTCAGGAAAGTAGCAGAATACATTATCAACATACAGAATTACTGTGGGTTTTGTGTATGTGTGTGTGATTGGGCAGAAGGTCTCACTATGTAAGTCCAGGCTGACCTGAAACTCACTGTGAATCCCAGGTTACCCTTCTGCCTCAGTGATGCAGTCACCGGTGGGCCTCCCACCTAAATAAAAGCTTATATAAAAAATCAAGAAAACTGGGGCTGGGAAGGTGGCTCAGTGGTAGAGTGCTTGCCTTGCATGCATGAGGTCCTGGGTTCGATTCCTCAGCACCACATAAGCAAAAAGAAGAAAGCCGGAAGTGGCACTGTGGCTCAAGTGGTAGAGCGCTATCCTTGAGCTGAAGAGCTGAGGGACAGTGCCCAGGCCCAGAGGCCCCACGACCAGATCCAAAAAAAAAAACAAAAACAAGAAAACTATCCCATTCAAAATAGCCTCAAAAAATAAAATACCTAGAAATAAATCCAGAGAGGTGAAAGTTAAGGAACTCTTTCAAGTCTGGGAGTATGAATAAAGAGCCAATAAGCCAAAACCTGAGAAGGACCAAGTCTACTTCAACCTGGCTGAAGAAAACATGGCACGCTTCCCTTACATCTAAGGTTTCTTTTTATTAGGCTGAAAAAGTGAGGTCAGGCAGGGCGGATGGAAGTGGGAGGGGTGAGGCGGTCAGATAGGAGAGCAATGTTGTTTTCTTTGAGGAATTTCAAGGTCCCAACAGTGCTGGGCCGTCAGTGCCAGATGTGGCCTTTGTGTCAGGCTCTTGCCAAAACCTCTGGGTGTGTTTGTTCAGGGGCAAGGGGAGTCAGCAGGGTAGGCAGCAGGAATCGTTCTAACATGCTATCACAAGGGAAGGTGAGTGCTTTCAGTTTAGGTCATTTTCCATCAGAAAATGTAAACTAGCAAACACTGAAGAAAGATACAGAAGACACTACAAAATAGGAAGGCCTCTGTGTTCATAGATAGGCAGAATTAACCTTGCAAAAATGGCTATATTACCAAAAGTAACCTCCAGATTCAGAATAATGCACATCCAAGTTCCAAATGCATTCTTCCCAGAAATAGAAAGACCAGTCTTAGAATTCGTATAGAAGCACAAAAGACCTCAAATGACAAAGCAAACCTGAGTGAAAAGATTGAGGCTGGCAGTCTCACAATACCTGAGGTACTATATCAAGGTACTAGATTTGTTTCATTTTCTTTATTTTTGTTCCTGTAAAAGGGTACTGGTCAGTAAAATGACGTTAACACAAATATCAAGAAAAGATTCTAAATTATGAATACCGCATTTTATTGGCTCCATAGCCCTAAAATACTGTATTAATTTTCAGGCCAAGACCCATGTTCTTGACATTGAGCAGCGACTACAAGGTATCATCAAGAACCGAAACAGAGTGACAGGCCTGCCTCTGTCTATCGAAGGACATGTGCATTACCTCATTCAAGAAGCTACTGATAAAAATTTACTCTGCCAAATGTACCTTGGTTGGACCCCATATATGTGAAATGAAATTCTTTCAAAGAATATTTTAATAATCTAAAATTAAATGCACCAATAAGTTATATCTATTCAGTTCTAAAGCACAACATAGGTTTTTGTTCTCAGAAGAATTGGTTTTATTTGTCTGCTTACTATATTTATAATGATGGTGTGTGTTCAGTCATTAAAACTTTTTTCTTAGCATGTACTGTGTATTTTTCTTCTTGGTGCTAGAGTTTGAACTCCAGGCCTTGAGCTTGCTTAGCTTGTTCCTGGCTGGCATTCTACCACTTGAGCCACACCTCCAGTCTAGCTTTCTACTGGTTAATTGCAAATGGGAGTCTCAAAGCTGGCTTTGAACCATGATTCTGCAGGGCTCAGCTTCCTGAGTTGCCAGAATTACAGGTGTGAGCCACAGACTCCAGGTTCAACCGTATGTTCTACCTGAAGAAATGGAACATGGTGTGTTCTTGAGATTTAAAAAAAAAAAAATGTGAAAAGGAAGCCAGCCTGACTTCATTTATATGTATATATATAAAGCTTGAACTCAGGCCTGGGCGCTTCCCTGAGCTCTTTTGCTCAAGGCTAGCGCTCCACCACCTGAGCCACATCCCCAGCTCAAGAGTACATTTCTTTATGGACAGTGGCACCCCTTCCCTCCCGCCTTGGCCCACAGGTTTCACAGCTCATTTTTCAACATGGTGTGTAGTGCGTGCCCCTGCTGCCTGTGTGACCCCTGGCCCTCCAAGACAAAACGAAAACAAGCAAAGGGGAAAAAACATTTCCTGAAGTGTCATTCCGATCATTATTATTCTATATGATCAGAGACACAAAGGAAAAGAACACTGGGGGGAAAAAAACCGTACGTTCACGTCATTCTGAGAGGCCTCTCAAACAGCACCAGAGCTTTTCGCAAATCGCCTTGGCAAACGGGTTAGCAACCCCAGGCGTCGGTGTCCCGGCCACCTTCACTTCCCAGCCGAGGGGAGGCTCCCATAGGCCCGGCGGGGCGGGGGCGGGGCTCTGCGGGGGCGGGGCGCGCGTACGCCCCGCCCCGGACACGCCTCCAGCGCGGCCGCTCTAGGCGCGCGGGACGCCCGCTCTCTATGGTCCGCCGGGCGGCGTGTTGTCATCGGCGGGGCGACGGCCCGGGCGTTCAGTTTCGGTTTAGTCCTGACTGGAATTGGGGCTGACGGTGGACATGGGGGTCCCCAAGTTCTACCGCTGGATCTCGGAGCGGTACCCTTGCCTCAGCGAGGTGGTGAAAGAGCACCAGGTGCGTGAGCGAAGGCGGGCGGGCGGGCTCGGCCCCGCGGCCTCTGGGGGCCCCGGGCCTGCGCGACGCGACGCCGGCCCGACGTGGGGCGCGGGGCGGGGCGGGCGGCGGCTCCCGGGGTCGGGGGCCCGGGCCCACGGCCAGCGCCCCCCTCCGGGCCTCGGGGCCTCCTCCGCGGCCGCCGCCCGGGCTCCTCACGTCTCTCCTTCCCCCGCTTCGCTGGGCGCCACAAGTGGCTTCCCCCGGCGGGGCTGCGGGGCGCGGGCGCGGGGCCCGGCCACCTCCCCTCCGCGGGCCCCGCACCCCAAGCCCCCCACGCGGGGCCCAGAATACCGACCGACCACAGCCACCTCCCCGCCCCATTCCGCCGGCCCTGGACAGAGCCCAGACCCCGAGTTCAAGCCCCATGCCAGTCAGAAGGAAAGTGCAGAATACGAACTCAACTTTTATCACTTGAAATATAGGCTGAGCTAGATGTAAGGGGCACTTAATCCTACAGAGGATTAAAGAAAAAGATACACATTGCAGAAATAAGCACAACTAATTTTGACTTTGTCTGGGTCTTTCAATCAACAAATACTTGAATATCAATCTTTATAGAGTGAAACAAAACGTGATCGCTGTTTGTAATGACTTGGTAACACGTAATCTCACACCTGTAATCCTAGCTATTTAGGAGGCTGAGATCTGAGGATGGAGGTTCAAAGTCAGCCCAGGCAGGAAAAATCCGTGAGATTCTTATCTCCCTTGACTACCAGAACGAGACGAAGTGGGACTGTGGCGCAAAGTGTAGAGGACTAATCTTGAGTGGCAATGTGGCTCAAGTGGTAGGGTGCTATCTGTGAGCTGAAGAGCTGAGGGACAGTGCCCAGACCCAGAGTTCAGGCCCTATGACCAACAAAACAAAGCAAAAAACAAACAAACAAAAAAAGCCCTCCACTATAAGCCTTAAAATTTGGTGTATTTCATATGCATCTAATGAATTATCAGAATGAAACCCCCTTGTACTATTGCTGTAGGGTAATAAAAGTTTTTTTTAAAAAGCTTGTTTTATCAAAGTAATGTCTTCCACAAGTGTTTGATGAAAATGAAACAAAGGGCCACAGCAAATCTCTGAGGCAGTAAAGATGGCAGTACCTAAATCAGTCTGAGTGGTTTACAAGGTATTCCCTAGGGGGAAAGGAATGGGTTTGGAGACAGTGATGGTAATGGTGGCACCACCACACTTATTCAGTTTCTTAATCCTCCAAGGAAATTAGAATCCAAAAACAGTTATAAGAAAAATAGCCCTGTCGCTAGCCTATAATCGCTACTCAGGAGGCTGAGATCTCAGGATCACGGTTCAAAGCCAGCCTGGGCAGAAAAGTTTGTGAGACTCTTATCTCCAATTAACCACTGAAACCGGAAGTGGTGCCATGGCTCAAGGGGTAGAGCGCTCACCTTGGGCTGAAGAGCTGAGGGACAGCGCCCAGGCCAAGTTCAAGCCCCGCACCGACCAAGGGAAAAACGTGACATAGTATTTCTATGATACTTACTGTAGGGTCAGAATAAAATTAGTAGTCATAGCATTTTGATTTTGTAGCTGAAAAAATGGTCACAAAAAGATTGTTACCTACAGTTGTTAAGTGTGGACTATCTGTTCTTTTCCTTCATCGCCCAGGATGCTGTAAGAAGCTCTTCCTTGGAGTTTTTCCTAGTCATAGCCGCGCTGCATGGAATGCTAATATCAACATCCTAGGTGGACTATGTATCTGTTCTTATGCTATGACACTGTTCTATAGATAGCAGTTTTGGCCTTATGGGGCAATATTGTACTGTTGGACTTTTAAAGAAGTTAGGATAAAATGACATAGCGGATTTGCTATCTTAACCATGTTTGCTTTAAAATGCATCTTAGATAAGGCACACCAGAATTTTCAAAATTCAGGGAATACAGGTTCAAATGTCCATTTTAAAGTATTTGGTGTTTTGTGGGGAGCTCAAATGAAGGGTGCTCCCTTCATTTTTCCATCAAGGCTAGTGCTTTAACACTTGAGCCATGCTTTACCTGCATCACGTTTATTGTTGTTGTTGTTGCTGTTGCCAGTCCTGGGGCTTGAACTCAGGACCTGGGCACTGTCTCTGAGTTTTTTTTTGCTTAAGGCTAGTGCTCTACCACTTGAGCCTCTTCCAGCTTTTTTCTGAGTATTTTATTGGAGGTAAGAGTCTCATGGTCTTGCTTTGAGCCATGATCCTCAGATCTCAACCTCCTGAGTAGCTAGGATTATAGGCATGAGCCACCAGCATCCAGCATCTGTGTTGTTTTTATCAGTATAGTCTCCAACCCCTAGCTAGGAGAGCTGTTTTTAATTTTATATTTGCTTGAATTGCAGATTGAACTCAAAGCTTAGTGCTTGCTACTGCCACTTGAACCATGTTTCCAGGCTTTTTCTTTGCTTTAGGTTATTTTTCTAGAGCATAGTATATACCACTATACCTGACTTAATTTGTTGTGAAGAGTCAATCATTATTTTTCCTAGGCCAGCATCAAACTGTAATTCCCTTAGTCTCCACCACCAAGTAGCTGGAACTATAAGCATGAGGGACCCAAGTCTGGCTTGGTCTTTTCTAAAACAAAATTATAATGGGATTTTTCAGATTATAAATGCAATTATATAGTCTAGAGAAAAGTAAAATCTGAAATTTAATCATCCAGAGTTGACTACTAATAATACCTTGCTTCTGTATACATAAGATATTTTCTGTATAAATAGACATATTAATAAGTACCTTTGAAAATAGGATCATAAACTTGCTGTTTTGTACCCTGCTTTTGTCACTGATCATATGTATTCACATTTTCATACCAATTGTGAACCTACATTATAATTTCTAACTGCTGAATCGTATTACACTGTATAAGAATAGCACTAGCAAGCCAGTGGCTCATGCCTATAATCCTAGCTACTCAGAAGGCTGGGATCTGAGGATTGCGGTTCAAAGCCAGCCCAGGCAAGAAAGTCCGTGAGATTCTTCTCCAATAAATCACTAGAAAACCGGAAGTGGCATTGTGGCTCAAATGGTAGAGCGCTCACGTTGAGCTGAAGTTAGCTCAGGGACAGCGCCCAAGCCCAGAGTTCAAGCCCCACGACCAACAAAAAAAAAAGAATAGCACTATCAGTTTTCTGTTACTAGGCATTTGGATTATTACTGTTTTTTTGTCCTGTACGGGACTGGCATGGATATTATTATACTAATCTTTATTCATTCATATTGTTTCTGGTGGTTTCTCAGGATTAATTCCTGAGAACATACATGTTCCTGAGTCAAGAACATACATGTTTCAAATATCGATATATTCAGGTTAATTATAGCTATATTCTCATCTCAAACTACTGAGTATCAATCTTTTCTAGATCTGTGACTCTCTTCTTTAAAATTGGAGTGCTAAATATTTATCTCTAAGGCTATTATAATTGAAAGAATAAACATAAATATTTAGTCCAGTGAATTTTCAATTCAATTATCTATGATACTTTTCTTTTTTCCAGTACTGGGGGCTCAAATTTAGGGCCTTGTACTCTAATTCTGCTTTTCCACTTACAGCTGGAAGTGATTTTCCCTCTACCATTTGAGTTATACCTTCAGTTCCAGCTTTTTGATGGTTAGTTGGAGATTATTTTTCTTTTCTTTTCTTTTTGCCAATCCTGGAGCTTGAATTCAGGGCCTGAGCACTGTCCCTCAGCCTCTCTGTGTTCAAGGCTAGCACTCTACCACTTGAGCCACAGTACCACTTCTGGCTTTTTATATATGCTTCATACATGCTAGGCAAGCACTCTACCACTAAGTCCCCTTCCCAGCCCTTCCTATTTGTTTTGTTTCAAGACAGGGCCTCTCTGTATTGCCTGAGCTGCCCTCGAGCTCCTGGACTCAAGCCAGTCCTCCT